TGGAGGGGGGACAAGAAAATGACAAACTAAAGGAAAAGGGTAAATAAGAGTGAGGAAAAGCTAGTCTAAATCATGAACAAATTAGTTAAAAAATCAAATCTATCATGTGTCACGAGAAGAGGTGCTTGCGAAAAGATTGTTCAAAGAACTAGAATGCTAAGACAATATGAGGGGAATCTAGTTTGACAAATATCGCAAAGGTTGAGGACAATGCAAGTGAAGACGTCTATTCTATCCTAGTTGTGGTTGAGGAGTTGACAAATAGATGAATTTTTAACTCTAGTTGTTCTTATCATATGTGCTAATGTGCTAACTGGTTTTGATTCCTACAAAAGTGTGTCTAAAGTTATTTTCATGAGGAATAATGCTCCTTGTAGGATGGTGGTCATTGATTTGATGAAGATTTGGATATTCAATGATATAATTCAAAAACTTAGAAATGTATGTCAAGCACCAATGTTGAGCTAGAATTTGATCTCACTTAGAGTTCTGGAGGTAAATAATTGTTACTTTAAAGTTGAGAATGAGATCTTTAATGTCAATAAAGAAGTGTTTGTTGTGATGAAAGAGAGTCATTTATGAGAAAATATTTTCAGACTTGAAGATAACACTATTATAATTGGAGCTCATATTATGACACCAAATAATATGATGGTTGATGATACTCTATTATGATACTTGAGGTTGGGTTATATGAGTGAGACATGTATGTAGAAATTGAATGCACATGAATTATTACATGACATAAAAATTTGTAAATTAGATTTTTGTAAGTACTATCTCATGAAGAAATAGTACAAGGTGACATTCAAGGTGGAGAAGTATGAGACTGATTTCATATTATATTATATTTATTCAAATGTGTGATCTAATTGATGTGACATTCGTGAGTGGAGCTCATTATTTTATGACATTTGTTGCTAATTTTTTTAGGAAGGCCTAATTTTTTTTTTGAAGTATAAAATCATAGGTGTTTGCAAAGTTCAAGACTTAGGTGTATGAAGGTAGAGAATTATACCAAAAAAAATTAAAGTTTTATAGACTAATAAAGAGACAAAAATTGAAAATTCTGAATTTGATCAATTTTGTGAAGAGCATGAAATTCAATGTAACTAAATAATGACGAAGACTACGTAGTAAACAGTGTTACTAAGTGGATGAACTGCACAATGACTAAAGTAGTATGGTGTTTGCCATTGAATGTTGATTTGTAAGTTTTGAACAAAAACTATGAGCATGACAACCTATTTAGTAAATAGATCATTAAATTATGTTCGTTAAGGGAAGGTGATAGAAGAGGTATGGACTAGGAACCCTGTTGATTATTCCACATTACATATATTTAGATGTCTAAGGTATGTCCTTATATCTATTGGTGAAAGATTAAAGTTTGATCTAAAGTTGAAGAAATACATCCTCTTAGGATGTAGTAATAACGTGAAGGGATTCGACTTTGAGACTTGGAGGTGAAGAAAAGTATTTTCAACATAAGTCTGGTCTTTGATTAAGATCACATGTTGAAGTCAACCTCTTATGAGCAAATGATTAAGAAATCTAATGATACTCATATTACAAATAGAATGTGGGTGGTAGTGGAGACAACAAAGTGTTCGCTTTGTTCAGTTGGAAGTAGAGATTAAGTTAAAATATCATCAAATATTTCTAATTGTATTGTTATTAGATGAGACATGTGAGATGAGGCCTCTTGTTTGTCTAACTGGCTATGTTGCTTTCACTTTGTTTGCAAATGATTGTGAGCTTACATCTTATTGAGAGACAATTAGTTCCCCCAAAAGTATGAAATGATTGCAAACAATGTCTAAGTTAGCATCCTTAAACAAGAATCACACATGATACTTAGTTAATTTGCATGTAAGGAAGCAACCCATTAACTACAAGTGGGTTTATAAGAAGAAGGTTGTAGTGATTGATTCTGATCAATCAAAGTACAAAGTAAGACTCATAACAAAAGATTTTGCGCAAAAGTATGGAATCGATAATAAAAAGATATTTTCATATCTCGTGAAATACACATCTATTTGGCTAGTATTAGTCACTGTTGCACATAAAGATATAGAGTAAAGCAACTAGATATGAAGATAATGTTATTTTATGAGGATATGAAGGAAATGATTTACATGCAACAACTTAAAGGCTTTACTATATTGGGGTTAGAGCATCTTGTATGTCGATTGAGAAAGTCACTTTATAGGTTGAAACATTCATCGAGGTAATCATATAAGAAATTTGATTCTTATATGATGAGATTAATTATATAGGTGTGAGTTTGATTGTTCTATTTATATGTTTCTTGGATTAGGTTGATATTCTATATTGATGATAGTTCTCAAATTATTTTAATACTCTATATTGATGACATGCTCATTGCTAAAAAAAACTTACATGAGATTACAACATTAAAGACATAATTGAGTAAGAAATTTTAATGTGGTGAATAAGATCCTTAGTATGAAGATCCATTGAGACCAAGAGAGAGGTCAATTATGATTAATTCAAGAAGTCATCTTTCAAAAGTGGTAGATTTATTTGCCATGGGTAATGTTAAAGTAGTTAATATTCTTCTAGTGAATCATTTAAAGATATTTATCTCTCAATGTCAACATCTGAGAAAAAGATTATTATGGTTTTATGTTAGTGTAGTTAGATCTCTCATGTATGCTATGGTCTATACAAGACCATATATTACTCATATACTTAGATTTGTGAGCAGATTTATGAGCAATTTAGAGAATGAGTATTGAGCATAGTAAAGCAGGTTCTTCAATATTTGAAAGGTTCCTTTGATTTGAGAATTATTTTTAATATGCAAAACTCTATTTCTATTATTAGTTTTGTTGATGTAGACTTTGTTAGAAATTTAGATCATCAAAGACCTATGACATACTATGTCTTTACTGTGACTAATTATGAGCTAAAAATTTACACTTAAGTCTATTGTCACACAATTTATAACTAAGATGGAGTATATGGTGACAACTAAAGTAACCAATAAAGTATTGTGATTGAAGAGGTTATTGAGTGAACTTAAGATCTCACAAGGTAAAGTTCTTCTATATTGTCACAATTAGAGCATCATTTGGTTGATAAAAATAAGATATATTATGTATGATCAAAGCACATTGATGTGTAGTATCACAAGATTTGTGAGCTGATAAATTGTAGAGATATTTCTCTAAAAAGAGTTCACACGGAGAATAATGTCAAATATATGTTGACAATGGTCGTCGCAATGGAGAAATTCAAACACTCTAAATTTGATTCATGTTTACATTGAAGTAGATGGAGAACTTGTAACATAAACAACCGTCAACTTCAAGTACAGTGGGTATAACTAAGGTGTTACCCACCTTGTTGACCAACACGAGGGAAAGGGTGACGCAAGCAATTTTCCTAACCTCCTGCTGGTGGGTTTCACCCACTCTGCTGACCTGCGTGGGGGGAAAGGGTGACCCAAGTGGTTTTCATAACCTCCCGCAGTAATATGAGAGATGTATGCAGTTAGAGAAACCACCCGCATCATTTATGGACGGGCCTTATTTTTTGGAGCCCAGTAAAGAAAGTTTGGACGTATCCCTATCTCATTGGATTAATAGTGATGTATTCTTCTTATCTTACTTCTTCCCTCTCCTCTTCTCTATCTCTTGGCCTATCGTTGAATCTCTTGAGGCTAAAGGGCCGTCATAAAGGCTTTCTTGTGAAAGACGACGACCGCGGACGGATAGGGGTAGTCCACCATCTCTTGGGTATTTTCTTCTTCTTATATCCCCTGAATATATATAACTCCAGACTTTCTTCTGCACGCGTGTTACAAGCCCCTAGAAAAGCACGGAAAGAGGCTCTGGAGCATGAGACGGAGACAGCCAGGCATGGCAACCAAATGAGGACAAATGCGGAAGAGGGGGGAGGTGTGGCACCATCGGATGGAGAGCATGGTAATGGGAAAGGTGGAGATGTGGGGGAAGGTGGAGGTGTGTACCATTGGATGGAAAAAATGGTACAGGGGAGGAGAGGGAGAAGAGGGGGGGAGGAGGGGAGGGGGTTGCTGGGGAGGAGACAGTATGAGAAGGCGCAGCCGTGCGTTGGACGATGGGAGGTGGCGGCCGAGGAAAGGGAGGAATGAAACTGACTAGGAAGGACGGCCGATGGAGGAAGGGGAAAATAGAAGAGGTGCGGCCGGCGAGGTGGCTTTCGGATTTAACTGGCCCCTCCCGTATACTAGTCAAACTGAGATTCTCACTCTTCGTTGAACATTTTTATGATCAAATGATTATAAAACTCTCATTTTTATTTCTGCATCCCCTCTTTATTTAAAGATCTTGGAATAATAGAAAGCAGTAGGAGCACAATGGTGGCATGTGCAAAGGCCTCTACTTAATTGCCTTTCTCTGCTCAAAGTGTCATGTCATTGCGTGTGCCGCTACGACTCGACGCCAGGTTGCCAATGGATGTGACCAACGGTCTCGGCTATCTTCGTCTCGATGAGCTCGGCACGTTTTCGAACGACAGCAAGTAGAAGCAACCCGGAGGCAATCGACGACAATCGGTACAGGGTGGCCACGTTTCCTCGCGGCAGAGAAGTCAATGACGCCTCCGGGGACGGTAGAGGTGGAACTCCCGCCGGATGCCGGGACGGATGCGACCGGCCAACGACGTGACGTATGAGACCCCGCTGACATTGACCCTGTGCCCCCCAACTCCCTTCCTACTTCCCGTGACGCAATACAGAAACGCATTCGTTTCAAAGCCATGCATCGGGTGCCCAATTTAAGAATCCCCAACCACCCTTGCTTCTGGCAATTTTTCTTAAAATTCAGTCGGTCGCGATTCCCTCCGGCAGAGGACACCTGCTACCACCGAACCCAGGCACGTCCTCGGGTCGTCCCTTTAGGATCGCCGTCTATAAATGTCCAGAAGCGCCGAGGGACGAGGCATCATCGTACAGCGAGACCCAGCCTTCTGAAGTCGGGAAGCAGAAGGAGATGGGTAGAAGCTGCGGCGACCCGGGGGGTCGCCTATGGGTGACCGTCCTTGTGCTGGTGGCTGCAACGTTTCTGTCAAGTAATCTAGGAGTGGTATCGGGGGAGGCATACACTTATGCTTCTCCCCCACCTCCTTCACCGCCTCCTCCTACTTACAATTACGAGTCCCCACCTCCGCCGAAAAAGTCACCGCCTCCTCCTTACTATTACACGTCCCCGCCCCCACCGAAAAAGTCACCGCCTCCTCCTTACTACTACTACACGTCCCCGCCCCCACCGAAAAAGTCACCGCCTCCTCCTTACTATTACGAGTCCCCGCCACCACCGAAAAAGTCACCTCCTCCTCCTTACTATTACGAGTCCCCGCCCCCACCGAAAAAGTCACCGCCTCCTCCTTACTATTACGAGTCCCCGCCTCCGCCGAAAAAGTCACCGCCTCCTCCTTACTATTACACGTCCCCGCCTCCGCCGAAAAAGTCACCGCCTCCTCCTTACTATTACGAGTCCCCGCCTCCACCGAAAAAGTCACCGCCTCCTCCTTACTATTACGCGTCCCCGCCTCCACCGAAAAAGTCACCGCCTCCTCCTTACTATTACGAGTCCCCGCCCCCACCGAAAAAGTCACCGCCTCCTCCTTACTATTACACGTCCCCGCCTCCGCCGAAAAAGTCACCCCCTCCTCCTTACTATTACACGTCCCCGCCTCCACCGAAAAAGTCACCTCCTCCTCCTTACTATTACACGTCCCCTCCCCCACCGAAAAAGTCACCGCCTCTTCCTTACTATTACACATCCCCGCCTCCGCCTAAAAAGTCACCGCCACCACCCAAAGTCAAGGTTACGGGAAAGGTCTACTGCTACAAGTGTTACGCGGGGGGATCACCCATCAAGTCGCACATCAAGAAAGGCTTCAAAGGTGATAATTCTAAGGAAATCATTCGATTTATTTACAAAATTAGTATCTTTTCACGGGAATTTCGTCCATATTGTAATCAAAATACTAATCTTGTGCCATTTTTTATGATCTGTACAGGTGCGATCGTGAAGGTGACATGCAAGGATGTGGTTGCCTTCGGAAAGGCTAAACCTAGTGGGAAATACAGCGTTACTATTAAGGGGTACGACTATCAGAAGTATGGAGCTGCTGAGTGCAAGGCCCAGCTCTATGCACCGCCCGTGGGTTCTATCTGCAAAATTCCCACTGACTTGAACAATGGCAAAAAAGGTGCCAAGCTCCATGTCAAGTCAAAGAGCGATGAACTGATCGTCCTCGAAGCCAAGGCTTTCGCCTACGCCCCCAAAACCCCATACAAGGAGTGCACGAAGCCTGAACACATTCCCCCGGTTTACTACTACAAGTCTCCACCTCCACCGGTGAAGCCTCCGACTCACCCATACTACTACGAATCTCCACCACCCCCCAAGAAGACCCCCCCACCAACCTACTACTACAAGTCTCCACCTCCACCGGTGAAGCCTCCAACTCACCCATACTACTACGCATCTCCACCACCCCCCAAGAAGACCCCCCCACCAACCTACTACTACAAGTCTCCACCTCCACCGGTGAAGCCTCCGACTCACCCATACTACTACGAATCTCCACCACCCCCCAAGAAGACCCCCCCACCAACCTACTACTACAAGTCTCCACCTCCGCCGGTGAAGCCTCCGACTCACCCATACTACTACGAGTCTCCACCACCCCCCAAGAAGACCCCCCCACCAACCTACTACTACAAGTCTCCACCTCCGCCGGTGAAGCCTCCGACTCACCCATACTACTACGAATCTCCACCACCCCCCAAGAAGACACCCCCACCAACCTACTACTACAAGTCTCCACCTCCGCCGGTGAAGCCTCCGACTCACCCATACTACTACGAATCTCCACCACCCCCCAAGAAGACTCCCCCACCAACCTACTACTACAAGTCTCCACCTCCGCCGGTGAAGCCTCCGACTCACCCATACTACTACGAATCTCCACCACCCCCCAAGAAGACTCCCCCACCAACCTACTACTACAAGTCTCCACCTCCGCCGGTGAAGCCTCCGACTCACCCATACTACTACGAATCTCCACCACCCCCCAAGAAGACACCCCCACCAACCTACTACTACAAGTCTCCACCTCCGCCGGTGAAGCCTCCGACTCACCCATACTACTACGAATCTCCACCACCCCCCAAGAAGACCCCCCACCAACCTACTACTACAAGTCTCCACCTCCGCCGGTGAAGCCTCCGACTCACCCATACTACTACGAATCTCCACCACCCCCCAAGAAGACTCCCCCACCAACCTACTACTACAAGTCTCCACCTCCGCCGGTGAAGCCTCCGACTCACCCATACTACTACGAATCTCCACCACCCCCCAAGAAGACTCCCCCACCAACCTACTACTACAAGTCTCCACCTCCGCCGGTGAAGCCTCCGACTCACCCATACTACTACGAATCTCCACCACCCCCCAAGAAGACACCCCCACCAACCTACTACTACAAGTCTCCACCTCCGCCGGTGAAGCCTCCGACTCACCCATACTACTACGAATCTCCACCACCCCCCAAGAAGACTCCCCCACCAACCTATTACTACACTTCCCCGCCACCGCCGGTGAAGTCCCCGCCACCTCCATATTACTGATCACAGTCAAATCCGCGGTAATCGTCCATCAAGCGCGCCATCGTAAGTCTCTCTTTTAGATATCCCTCTCCATTGCTTTCCGCTCTCAATCTATCGCCATTCCTTCTCTATTATTTGTCATAGAAAAGTATGTTTTCTCAGGGCACCTCGGAGAAGTCGGTTGGCTGGATGGTAAAGGTTTCTCTTTTCGAATGGTTCGTCCGTTTCAACTGAGGCGGGACGTCAGAGACATGAAATGGTTCCACTCCGACGCTGTCGCGGTGACCATCTTCTATTTGGCGCTCCTCGTTTTCCAGATGAAGGCCGAAAGATTGGTGAATAAATCTCTTATAGAGATGATAAAGCAGAAGAGTAATGACGTTGCAGTATCTTACACATAAGCTTTCCACTGGGCCATTTATTCCTTTGTGTAGTGTCTTTTCAGTTACTTGTTTCGTTCATTTGTTGTTGGTTCTCACCCTGTGATAATTAATAAATTTGATCCAACCATGATTTCGGAGGCTACTGTTGGCCCAAAATGCAAGCGATAACCCTCCGTCGATCCCAATAATATCGAAATATTTCAATGAAATCATAAAACCAAATTGGAAGCTCGTAAAATTTTCATGCATATGTGATGTCATTAGCATGTGCGCCTGTGGGCAGCCATCAAAACCCTCAACCATGTTCGAGGAGGTTTCTGGAGGAAGATAGCGGCGAGGAGAGGGAGAAGGGAACAAGAGGAAGAAGGGGCCAGGCTGCGACTGACTCGGCGCCACCCCACCCCCAAAACCATTATGACAGGTGGGAAGGCGCCTAATGGACACCCGGCGGAAACTCATCTGTCAGCTGGCAAGCTTGAAGGCGTCGATGAAGAGCCCGTAGGTGAAGCCCATCTTGAAGTTGTTTAAGAGGGCAAGGGGGAAGGTCACCTTGGGGCGGCTGTAGTAGAAGCGGGTCACGTACTCAGTGACCAGCACGCACACCACAGCAGCGATCACGTCGTTCACGCCGAGCGCGCCGAACGAGAGGGAGATGGTCTGAGCGACGTAGAAGCCGCCCAACAGCGAGATGCCCCCGAACAGTGCGCGCCGTGATGGGCTCTTGAAGTAGTTCCTCGAGATCTCCGGCACCAGTCGGACGATGTCAACAAGCCGGCGAGGTCCCCCCTGGCTGCCGTCGTTCTGCACCGCTCGTACTGTGCGCAGCACCACGCGCCATGAGCGTGGGGGCCATCCTCTCGCGCTATAAATGTGCCGGCCTCCTAGCGCGGCACTGCTCGTGGCGGTGAAGCGGACGGCATCAGCAGGGAGAACCCGAGACGAGAGGACGAACCCAACGGACGCCATCCGTGCCCACCGCCAGTCACGACAAGCCCGAACTCAGTCGAGAACAAGGATGATTCAAAACTTCGGGTCGGCAAATCGCCGAACAAGTAGCGTGCTCTCCTGAACGACCCGAGAACCATGACGGATGCCGTCGGAGTAGAGAAAATAAAGCCCACAAGACAGAGAAGAAGACGAATCAAACGACGCGTCTAGTGATGGAGCGCGAGAGGCTGGAGATTTACCACGAAAAGTCGCCGGAGGGAAGGGGAATAAACCCGGACGACGATATCTTCTCCGAACGCACCTCCACGACGCGGGCGGCCCGCCGGCAGTCGGCTGCCGGGACAATAGAGATCTGAATGGGCACGGTTCCGCCCCTCTGATTCGAACGGCTGATTTCCCCCCGTCACCGAACCAACAAGCTTCGACGCCCGTTGCCGGCGGCGCCCCTTGGGCAACGAACGATAGCTTGAACAGATTGTTACCCTCGTAAGGACCGGGGGAGAAAAAGCCACGCATCATATCATATTATATTATTTATTTAGATAGAAATATCATATATTTACTTATTTTCTCAACTTTCGGAGCTAAAATACTCGAATAAGGAGACTTGGGCTTTGTTATTAGGATCGGTCGTTTGAAAGCAGTAGATCACGATCAAGGAATTAGATCTACTGATTTGGTTTCGTAAAACCCTATTTTTTATCTTCAAATCAATGAGATTTTATAGTCCTAGTCGCACGTATGCACATGCAATAATTTTTCTTCATAAAATTATGTAAAACTCCAAAGAATTCAACTCTCATTTTTATCTTTAACTCGAGGTATTATACGTCTGTAAAATTTATCTTGACAAAAAGGATGCACAAAGTTTGAATATAATGATTAAATAATTGGGATTATGATATCATCAATATCAAATTTTTGGATTAGCATTATCACCATTTTGCAAGATCAGCCTATTAGTTTTATCATCGTAACATGATTTCCTGAGTCTCCGTCTTATTAAAATTCTCAAAAATGAAAATTTACATTCATATTAAATAACTTATACAGATAATTGAACTGTATTGGAGGGCAGCTGGAAGATCCATTTTTGTATGCCGTGGACGTATAATAACTTTAGATTAAAAAAGAAATCTCATATAGATTTATCATCACTAAGACTGGTTAGTATGTAACTAGGTACTCAAGATATTGGAGAACAATAAGCAAAAGGTCCTCATTTAAAAATTAAATATCCAACCTGAAATTTCCTAAGCCTAAAAGCCATGAAAATAAGATTCAAATAAATAAAAATACTAATAAAATTTTAAAATACAACCATTAACACTACGCTGTTGATTACCACTTTAGTAACATGCTATTCACTATATTTTATCTTAAAACAAAATCGTAGAAACAGAATAGAATTCTGGTGTTTTTCATACTCGTAATAAAGAATGATCACCAAATGTTTACAAAACTAAGGGAAAAAAATGCAATCGCACATCATTGCCATATGGGAAATACTCCCATGATATGCTGATGCCAGATCATCAGCATGTGCCATTCTACTATCTTATAGAGCAATGGCACTGCATCATGAAGGATACTTTCAATCATTAAGCTCGGACTGTGGTAGGTCTACAATGAGGGTGAAATCATCGGCACCAGGAAAGATTTGTGGCCTCTCTTCATCAAGGGACCGAACTAACTTTATTCACTTTCTTCTTCTTTGGGGGAAGGTAAGATTTCAGGTTGTCATTTACCTGTGGGCAAGTGATTTAATAGCTAATCCTGAGTCGATATGTTCATCTGAGCTGTCTTTCTGGCTTCTATTGTTCTTGTGCTGCACAATTATCAACTATAATTTCAGCTATTATGCCTTCTCAACTTTAAGAAATACAACTCGTCATGGAAGTTGAAACTTCCACAAAATCGCATCAAGAAGCTATGAAGGCATCTTAATTTCAGCTATTATAACTGGCATAACCTTTGCAGATCTCAGAGCATTTCAGCTTATTTTCCTCCTGTTGCAGAAGTGTGAAAGTAAATATGAAGTTACAGTTGTAGTCTACAGGGCGACAAAGACATCACTGCAGCAAAACAAAGAGCAGGATGCTGCGCCAAGTAGAAGCTTTTATATATTCCATTAAGAGAACGAATGGGCAGAAGAGGCTTCACAACATTAAACCAGCATGATCACTCAAACCCATCCTCTCTGATCTCCGTCTGACAGAACAACCTGATAAAGCTAGTCAGTGTTCACAGGACTGAATTGGTGTAAGCAAGCATCTTCACCTTGATCAACCCTACACCTTCACTAAACTTTTACAATCTCTTCCTCAAGCAAGAACCCTCGTCTACACGAAGGCAGTGGTGAGGGATTCATTTCACGCAACAATGTCATTGTATCCTTAAAATGACTTACTTTCTAAGATATGATCCAGGATGGAAGTCGTTTTCTTGATAATTGGGAGAGCCTGAATTCATTTCAATTACAATCAATAATTCATCTTAATTTGCCTTCTCCAACTCGTCATGGAAGTTGAAACTTCCACAAAAAGGCATCAAGAAGCTGTGAAGGTATCCCCGCAGAATTCGCATGAATTGCATCGCCTTCACAGCAATTATGACATGGAGCATTAACAGCACCGACATGCGTGTTCGAGTATAACATTAACGACTTACGTTGAAAATTTACATGTAGTGTCCTGCAGAGCTGGCGTCGCTCTTCCCATTGTCCCCGCCCATGCCTGCAGGATCCTGCTGCCGGTGATGCTGCTGCTGCTGCTGCTGAAGGTTGTGCAACACTTGGTGAGACAACCCCCCCAGGCCTGCATCACCCCCTCCTGCAGACCCAAGGAACTGACTCACAAGCCGCACCAAAAATCCAAGCATCTGAGTCTGGGCCTGGCAGGAGTCCAAGTGCATCTGCATCACATGCTTCTCGTGCTCCATCTGCATTCCAAGCACCCTCTCTCTCCATTCCATCTCTTCCTCTTCCCAACGCTGTTCTCGCCTCCTCCACCAATCCTTCTGTTCCTCTGACCATCTCCATCTTCTCTCGTGCATGGCTGCCGTCTCATCCATCTCTCTTTGATGCTCCCTTTCCCTCTTACACTGCGCTGCGACCTCCCTGTCCTCCTCTCTCTTCCTGTCCCTCTCCCTCCTCTTTTCCTCCCTGTTTAACGAAGCTTGTCCCAGTTCGACCAGGCTCTTAGCAGCTGAGAGGCCCACACTCCCATCTCCACCTCCACCAAACCTCGACCCCGATTTGACCTCCCCCGCCACCGAGAGTCTGAGGCAGCTTCCAGCGACCTCACCCTCGTCGTTGACAAAACCCTCCATGACTACATCGTCGTAGGCATCATCTTCATCCTCTTCCTCTTCCTCCCCCTCTCCTTCACCTCCCGCCCCGGAGTTAGCCTTGACGGCACCGACGGCAGAGGTGGAGGGGACACAGTCAAGGTCCATGTCCCCGAAGACCTGCCTGTAGTGGAGGAAGTTGGACCAGTGGTGCTCCCCGGAGGACCAGTCGAAGCAGCATCCAGAAGTGGATGCGGACGATGAGGAAGGCAGGGGAGGGGGCAAGCGGATCTTCTGCTTGACACCGAGGTACTGGTGGCGCATATTCTGGATCTTGATTGAGACATCGCGCCAGGACCAGCGGAAGGGGAAGCTAACAGGGTCGCGGAGGTGATGGAGAGCATTGACCCGATCCGCAATGGGCTGGAACTTCCTCTCCCTGGTCTTGAGCCTGGCTAGAGCCCCCGACCCCGCCAACTCCGAGTACTCCCGGATCAGCGCCGCCTCCTCCTCCTCCGTCCACTTCTTCCGCTTCATCTACACCGCTCGCCGCCGCAGACACCGAAGCTAAACGGCTGCCGGCGCCCACCTTCCCATTATCGGCGGCGGATCAGACGCCGCGAGGAAGGCGAGAAAGATGAGAACCCCATTTGTCGCTGGGCGTTGATACCTTCCTCGCATCTGTGTGCAATGTGCCGCGAGCTTCGGTTTACTTAGCGTGAACCACCGCCTCAGTGGAGAATAACGTTAGCCATTGGCCGTTAACGTAATGGTCCACCTTTGTCTCTTCGGAAAATATCAAAGAATTCGGATTAAAAAAAGCAACGTAAATCACACGAACGTTTATATTTTATTTATATTTGTAGGAATAATATCATATAAATTTTAAAAAATAATTTTAACATGGTTCTTATAAATTTTAGTATTAATATTCATTTATTTTAATATGAATAAAATGATAAATATTTGACTACATCCCTTGTTACATAAGCAGCAAGGGTGGCAATGAATCAAATAACTTCGGCCCTCTTTATGCGGATTTGGGCCCACGTGATTAGGCCCGGCCCGTTGTCACCCAAAGTTGAGTTATACGAAAGCTAACCTTAAGAATGCGGGACAACAGAAACGAATGGGGCGGTCCAGTGGACTTGGATGCCCGGCTCAGCCGAAACTGGAGAGCCATCTATGAGATGCCGGGTAGCTGGGTGCGATACATGCGTTAATGGTGGGGTTGGCGGTACTTCCGGAGCGGAGGTAGGCAACTCATCGGCGAAGAGGGGGAGGGGATTTCGATTTCTTAAATCTTCGGTGTCCACTACGCAATAGATCAGACCAGACAACGGCATAAGGTACGGTTGGAAACCCTAGTTACTTGGTCTCTTGGCAGAGGACCAGTTCTTCTTTCTGTTCTCGAATCCCTGGGTCTTTACTGAAGATCCCATCGGTTATCGCGCAATTTTTTTTTTCATCAAATAATTTAGGATACGTTGCTGCAATCAAGTTAATTGAATGCAGACAATTGTGTTTTAATTCAATTAACTTGATTGCTTGTGCTATTGTGTTTTACATCATGTGAAGGAAAAATAGCATAAGAAAATGTTTTAAAGCATTCAAAGTTTTTTTTATCAGAGACATTTTCCTTGTCCTGTGATATTCCGAAAATAAACTGTCACTCTCCCAGGAAATTCTTGAGAGTCCCCAAGAGTGTATTCTATAAGAACTTTTTGATGTATCCTCACCCCGGTTTTTTTTAATTACTTGGTTGATGTCAGTAATGGATACTAATATTTTTGCTTCAGCATCTTTTTATAGCTGCACGTGTTGACATCAATCTCTGAAATTTTGCTCTCATCTCTAAGCTCTGAGTGTTGCTGTCTTTTGAAATAATCGATCATCTGCTTGAATGCTTATGCCTTGGTTTTTTTTTCTGCAGATGGAAAGGCCTACATCTTCATTATCATACAAAGGTTCCGTTTCTGATGCAGTTACTGCAGCACTGACGCATAAGAAACTATTTGTTGTGTACATCTCAGGTGAAACATATTTTTCACTGTTTAATTAAATTTTCTCATCTGCTTATTAGTACGTAATGGATCAGCCCCTGCTTTTTTCATTGTAGCATAAATTTCGATCTTATTTCGTCTCAGAAAGGAAATTTTTATCTTAATATTGGATTTAAGAAACTAAGGGAATTCAGCCTACGGACGAAAAGAGAGACATTACACATCCAAACAGAACGCATCCATGACTGTAGCTTGTTTGATTAAGATGCGAAACCCATTGAAGCTACCACAAAAAATTATCTCCCATTTTATATAGATGCTTGCGGATACTCTTGAACCGCCAGTCATTAGGGTTACCGGAAAACGAGTTGGCATGACATTTGATGACATCGAGGCTCTTGGAGCAAAAACACTGAGACACAGTATACAGAATTAGCTTTAAATTGTAAAAAGTTATACATGAAACTTGAAAGGTTTCATGGAAAAAAGGACAATCATTTTGAAGCTCAGAGTAATTGAGAATAGAGGCCCGAATATCTTGAGGCATATCAATGATTGAAATCTCAGATAACTGATCTAAGATCATGCAAGCCACTCTGAGTCAGGCGAAGTCTATAATTATGCTAAATACATAAATGATTCATATTACTCCCTCGTAATTGAGCACCATTTTATTTTGAGTGGCATGTTGGTGGCAGTTGGATGCTTTTTGTTCGAATATGTGCTAACACAAGGATGGCTGAATCACCAGAAGAATATTTCTATCATTGGTTACCCTGTCTTTTGGTGTCGTCTGCAACAAAAAGACTGGGGAAATCTTGAAGAATCATTCAAACATTTGGAGGCCTGGCATAATACGGATAACATCCAAACAGATTCCAGAATATCTTTGTTGGATGCATATTCTATTGTGGACAGAAGCATTATTCAGCTCTTTTCTTGTGCTGTCAAAGAAAAATCGGACGAGATTGAGAGGCTTGGAATAAATCTGGCTTTGTAGATTTGGTGAATTTTGGGGCAGTTGGTTCTACCATGGAGAGATGAGGTTGTGCTGGTGTAGGTAGCATTGTGAACCCACAGAGGATCATGCTATTTCATGTGTTATTTTGATAGAAAAATACCGGTGCATAGTTTCTAGGATTGTTAATGTCTTGGGAGAGGAAATTTTTTTATTTATCATAGGTGTGGTGGTTGTCTTGCATTCACGATAACAAGCAGGGTTATCAAGGTTAGGGGGGTTAACATAACTGGCTTCTACTCTATCAAGGCGTCAAGATGAATTGACTTTTTTTGAATTTGAGTATATTGTTACTTGCATGACATGCACGAGATTGATTAGGGATAAACTGTTTGGTAGAATGGTTGATTGAGGCTCTTTCTTAGATTGTTTAAACTCCACTAGGAATTTAGCCACTTTCTATTGTAGTTTTTTGTGTAGCGAGCCTTGTGAATACTCTTGAGGTTTATGATCTTAGGCAGAGTCATAGTTGTGGGCAATATCTTTTTTTAAGTATTCAAGTTTTTAAAATAAATTAAAATGGGCAACATCCTGGGATGGCTCTAAGTCATTTCAAGTATGATTTAATTGAAAAAACTGAGCAAGAATAACGAGTTTCACCAGTGGAAATGGTTTGATTTTGTATTTTCATATGAGATACTTGAGTTTGGTTCAGTTTGTCCCGTGGGAACAGTGTTGTGTTTGCCATGCCAGCTATTGTATTTTTTCAGCCTTTTCCGGTCCTCACAATCAAGTTGTTGATTATGGCATTTTTTCAAGAGAGTGAAATTTTGAGATGATGGGTTCTCCTGATGCTTGGTAGCAGAATAGTGAAGAGGACAGGACCAAAATATAGTTGCAGTCTTTATGGAGGGTTGGCAAGATTTACTTACCATTTGGCTTTAGCGGAAGTTAAAGCTACCTCATGATTTCCAGTATGGAATATTAGAAGATTGCTGGCATGGGATATGGAGCCCAATCTGTTTGCGGTTGATACATGCGCCATGAGATATGGAGCGAACTTGCATTTTTCTTTGTGGCTCTTGGATATATTGATTTCATTTCAACGAAGTTCATATTTAATTTCATCTAAACCATTTTCTCTAAAACTCTTCCATTGTACTTTTCCAGGTGATGATGATAGCTCAAAAAGGATGGAACAATCAACGTTGGTTGATCAAAGAGTAAGCTTCTTCCATACCGCTGTTTTTCATGGCTCTTTTGGTTGATTGAGTGAATAAGAAGACCATGTACTCATGTTTGATGCTGGTCTCTTCTCAGGTGGTGGAGTCAGCCTCAAAATTTTGCATCTTCTTGCACCTTAACAATGGAACAGTGGATGCCTTTCAGTTTTCTGCCATATGTATCCTTTGATAAACTTTATGCTATAATCTTGAAAGGTTGGTATCTGTTTGCGAATGCTTTTAGCATTCTTTGAAAGACAATATATATGGCTTTGCCAAGTTGCTGTAAACATTTCTTATCATCATTTTTTCGCTAGATTTTTCAAAGTGGCCATTTGGTAGACTATTGGCTCACACAAGATTTGAATTTTTCCTCAGGCTAACAAATTAAGCGCAACATGTATGCATAAGTCCCTGTGCAAATTACCAATCAGTGCTGTGAAGCAGCTAATTTGCACGAGTGGATTGCATACTGTTGATAATTACTTAACCAGGGGCTTTTCTTCATGATGGATCGAATGTTTTTTGTCAACACGGATCTCTAATTAGGCATATAACTAAGCTGATTATGAATCTCTAACTCTTCTTGGTGTCAATAATTGTGGAAAAACTGTTGCTTGCATTTGATGGCGGGGAGCATGCGTCATCTCCTTGTGATGCAGTTAGATGAACGGTGGATATAATGACCACATAGATGCTGGTTGAATCAATGGTTTGGTAAAAAAAAATCTTCTTTTGATCACACAATTCCAGTCTTGGCAAATATCAGTGTCACATATAAGGTGCATATCTATCTAATAAAGGGGAATTCTTATCATTTTACTTCACTTCACCTCACGTTGCCTATGTCTCTCCATTGGCAATTGAGGATGAGATTGAAAGAAAGGGATTGAGCGGAGATCCAAGAGAGTGTGGAACTATGAATTACTTAACTAGAAAGTTTCTACAATACTCATCTTGCTAGAAATTTTTGCATTTGTTTTATTTTTTTTGGTGTACATTGAATTTATTATTATCTATTATGTCACCTCGTTTGCTTCGTCTCTCAGTTTTCCTTTAAGAGATATGTTCAGACCCTCAGAAATCTATACCGAGTATATCTGTTGTTGGATACAATGGTATAATGATATTCCAGCATGGTATGGATGATATGAACGTATTAATGTCATTTGATGAAGTAAATTTTCTTTTCAATTTTTCACTAATGTATTGCACAGCTGACTTTTAGACACATGTTTTTTATATTTGGATTTCCAGAAGGCTTTGTCAGCACAGAAAAGTTTTTAGAAAGCGTTGAAAAAGCTTGGGAATCTATGCAACTACAGGTACTACAAGGATGATAATCTCAATTTGTTCGTCATCTGATACGTTCTGTCATGTACGCCTTTTAGTTTTAGGATATTCACTCATGACAGGAAGAAGTGCTTCTTTGACTGATTGCAGGAAACGACTGCAGCTATATTGACTGCAGCACTTGCTTCAAAGAAACTAGATTCAAGCTCTAGCATTCTTGCATCGTCAGAGAAGGGAAATTCTTCAATCGTTGATACTCCATCAACATCTGGAGGAAGACTGGAAGAAGTATGTGAAAAAGTTTCTATATGAGCTTTTATAAAATTTCCTCTGATCAACCCATTGTTTTTCCCCTACTTTTACTTTCAGATTGAAAAAGCTGATGCACATATTTTCTTGTTCCAGAATGATAAGGAACCTGATGGAAATAACTCTTCACCTGATGCGATTGTTGAGGACGAGCAGTCTGGTTCAATGGGTCTAGGGGGTGATGGTATACAACTCCGTGCAGAAAATAATACTAATGGCTCTGGTGTTGCTTCTACAGTACGTCAGGAAGAAATCAATTTATCTGATGGTAGCCTAGCCTCTGAAACCACAATATCCACAGAAACACGCTTTGCTAACAGTAACTCCGAACTCGTGCGTAAAAGTTCTGAGATAGCAACTGAAATGGAAGGAAAAGGTGAACAAGCGATGAATCGTTCGGCTGCCTTGCAATCTGCTGCAAAATCTGACGGGGATCCTCCCAGAACTTCAAAGTCCATTAAATTAACTGATGTGCACCTCAATATCCGCTTGCCAAGTGGAGCTCGTCTTCAACTGAGGTCTCCACTGACAGATACTCTCCAGTCGGTGAAGAACTATGTGGATGAAAATGCTGCCAGTAGCTTAGGCACATATGACCTAGCGATTCCGTATCCTAGAAAAATATTCATGGACCAAGGTATGGTTTTATTACGTCCAGTCACTTGTCCCTGTTGTTCTTTATAGCTGTATCATGATTTACAATGTGCATCAGGATTACATCCGTATTGATCTACTAATATAATGTGGACAGAAATGATGATTACTCGTTAGTACTGTATTTTTCGCCTATTACTCATTTCATTTTTTCTGTTCTTGCCATACTTTTGTCCTGCTTCGTGATAATCCAAAAACTGTACAATACTCGGCAATGTATATCAGAGCACGCATATAGTGAGTTTGCCTCCTGTTCAACGCGATAAGTTTGGTCATTACTGTCTATGTCTGTCACATGGAGGTGATAATCACTTAAAAGTTTAAAAGGAATGTCTGTGGGCCCAGTTTATTTCTTATTGTTTTCCACTCATGCAAAACTATGGCTAACGAGACGTCTACGTTCATCCAGATATGAGCCTGCCATTGTCTGAGCTGGGTTTTGCCAGCCGGGAGGCATTGATCGTGGTTCCTCATAGGCATGCCGCCGTGGCCCAGAGGAGTCATCCAGCAGCATACCACCCAAGTGGCGAAAGTGAGGCTCATCAGGGAGACAATGAGGGCGGCTACTTTGCCTTACTGAAGAGGATACTCTCTTTCATTAATCCATTCTCCTATCTTGGCGGAGCTTCCCATTCCGCCCCAGAACTAGCTCCAAGTGCCTTACAGCAACAGGGTGAGCAGCTTAGCTTCATGATATCATCGGAGCTCTGTTCAAAACTTCTCAGCTTTTCATAGATCTTGGAGTTACCTCAGGTTTCACTTTCTTTGTGATCTGCGTCCGGCAGGTCCAGCCTTTCAAGGCAACCCATCTGGGGCTGAGAGATCCTATCGCCCTTATGCCTCCAACAAGGGAACCCCACAAGCCGGCAGCAGCTCCAGCACGACTCGGAATCAGGCACCAGCCAGGGCCGGCAGCAACATCCACACTCTGAGAGACGTTGAAGGGGAGGATCCTTCCAACGACAGGAACCTCTTCTGGAATGGAAATTCGACAGAGTTTGGGGGTGACGACAAAAATTGAGTATGCTCGAACAGAGTCTTGGGAGAAGAGAGGGGAAAACCCAGAAGATCTAGGGGTTGATACTGCAATCTTTCTAGCTACAGTAAACCGTTCAAACACATGCTACACTGGCTGTACCTCTGGGCGTTCGTTTTCTAAGCCACCATACTTGAAGGTCATGTGGGTATCATCTGTATAGAACCCGTTCGAGGTTTGGAAGATTTTTTCTTCCAAGGATACTGGGAGCACCTCTAAAGCTTTAATCTAATGAAAGACCCTCCTTTGTAATGACCATGAGAAGGCTGGTCTAGCCCAAAATGTCATGCCCTGAGATTATCGAATAAAAGTTTTAGAGCGGATTCGAACCTCCGGCATGGGGATAGCAGGGTGAGGCAAGATTCTCCAAGCAAAATCTTGCAGCCGATGGATAGCTTCGCATGATATGGCATGTGCATGCACAATATGGTGGGTGTGTACAACATGGCATGAGACTATGCCTAATGTCAATGATGGGATTAACATTAATTTCATATCATTTAATTTCATAATCAAGTGCCTAACCCCCTTTATAATAAGGCTTTTGCACCTAATGTCACAGGACCTTGAATAATGTGATAAAAGTTTTCTTTTGGGTTAACATTTTTAGTTGTGAAGGTTTGGGTTGATTGGGGTCATGAGTACATTCATTTACAGCATATAATTAAATAATTTTGACATATAACAATGTGACAAAGTGGTATCATAGCAAGGTTTCATTGTCCATATTAACTTGCTACTTTCCTACTCTTTTTTGTCTTGTAAAGAAGATAGGTAGTATAGTAAAGATAGGGAGTAGCAAAAACCAATGTCTAATGAATTACTTATCTTAAGGAGAAGACTAAAGTTTTTGTTGTAGTCTTAAAAATCCTAGAGGCCTAAATTCAAGAAACCAAGATTTGATTACAGACATTGGAAGAACGAGTTGAGGATCTACGAACAATGACTTATCCAGCCATTACTCACACTAACATGTGTACAGAAGATGAGGATCAAAGAAGTCTAAACAAAGTATTAGACAACCTCACAGAGCAAATGGCACAAGTGAGGTGCCAACAAATGATATGTCAATAGAGGGAGGCATGACATGGGTTAAGGTTCCAAAACCAAAGGCCTTTATAAGTGTCAAGGATGCTCAGAACATCAAAAATTACTTATATAATATCAATTAATATTTCAAGGTGAACCAAACTCTAAAGAGGGAGAAGGTATTGATGGCTAGGATGCACCTAGTAGAAGATGTCCAGTTGTGGTGGCCAACATGGGTAGAAGATTGTTGCTAAACCTTCCTTGTCTCATGGGCAAAGTTTGCTTGAGAGCTTGGATAATAATTTTTCTCAAGAACTATTTGATGTGATGTGTCACTTAAGCACACTAACAAGATGCAGGTGTATGTTAGACAATGTTCATCACTCTTATTGGAGGTCCAAGATATAGTTGAATAAGACAAAATTTCTAATTTCATGATGAAATTATAATATGTGTAAGTAAAGTTGTAATAACTTGGTGCCCAGCCTTTTATATGTGGACATAGTGAGGCATGCGCAGTCAACACAACACATGCAGAAGGCATGGCATGAGCAGCATGGGACTCGTGAAACGCTCAACATGCATTGGCATCATGGTGTACATGGGCGACAAGTCACACTTAGGTAACATGACATGTAGCAGTGATGGCATGTGAGCAGTTGACACAACACGAGTACTATGGCACATGGTGGAGCCAACACAGCACATACAAGAAGCAAACACACCCCTAGTAAGATATGTAGGGGAGACACCAATGGTCCCATGTGGAGTTGTGAATTAAAGCATGTGACTAAACATGTAAGTGGCGACACATATGTAGGAATAAGTATGGAGTTGTTCTCACATGATAGTGAAAATACAAATATGGGGATGTTAGCAGACAAAATAGACAACATAACATTTGATGCAGCCACAATGAGATGTGAAACACTCAAGACAATGACTAATGGTTATCCAACAAGTGTAATGGTCACCCAAGTGGTGTAATGGCTAAGAGGGACCATCACAATATATGAAGAGGGGCCTAACTAGTAGTATAAGATGATGAAGAACTTCGAACATTATCATAGATGAGATGCTAGCACTCAAACATACTTGATCCATTGATGCCTATATTGGAACATTTAGGACTCGCATATTAAATATACAAGAAACTGGTAAGAAGAATTATCTCTACTTTTTCCTCTCATACTTGAACCATGCGTCTATTCTAAAGTATAGAGAAGAGGCACAAGATCTGGAGCCGCATCTAATAAGAGTGAAGGAAATCAAGGTAGTGGCCGTATGGGAGCAAAGCCCAAAGGATGAGGTGGTGAATGTACAAGAAACTAGACCTTTACCATCTCCTCACCACCCCAATCTAATAGAAGTGTCCCCCCCAACTCTATAAAATGAGATGCTTCATTTGTGGAGGATCATATTAATTACTTGTGGAGGATTTGTCAATAGCAGACACTCTCGATTCAACTTAGTGGTTGACTAACAACAAACTAATACAAGAAGAAGAAACCGCAAAGGAACAAAATGTAGAGATGAAAACATTGTTAGTTGCTGAATAGCCTCCACCCATAAGTCTTGGGGCGAGGCAAGGAAAAGAAGCTAACTATTATCAGAATGTGAGTCGCTAAAAGATTCATAACATTTGTGGTGGATAGTAGGACAACAAGTAATTTTATGACTCTATAAGTAGTATGTTGACTATAACTCATACTTGTAAAGGCAGCCACCAAATTAAAAGTAACATGCATCACGAAAAAATTGCTCACAAGAATAGTGATTTTGGTATCTATAGAGGTGAGGAAATAGAAGGGTCACCTAGACTTCATGGTGATATCTCTTAGTTACGTCCAGGACAATACTATGAATATTTCCTCACTATTATGCAAGTTGAGGTAGAAGTCATGTGGAAGGGACTTTCTTATTAATCTTGCGCATAGTGATGCATAAGACTCAACTTGGAGAGACGTTGATGAGCATTGAGCAACTTCAGGTAGAGTACACCAATCAACTACCAAGTTAGTTACCCCTAAGCTCTCACCTCGATGAGACAAACCACAATCAACTTGATACCAAACATAAACTTGTCAACTCGAACACTGAACGAGATGACACTACACTACTTGATCAAACTTCAGAAATAGATTTAATCACTATTGGAGGTAGGATGCTTACAACCATCTAAATCACTATTTGACACCTTTTATCTTTACAAAAAATGAAGAATAGAACATTAAAGTTATGAGTTGACTATTGCATGTTGAACAAGCTAACGATCAATAACTAGTAAGTATTGAAAGTAAAAGACTTTGTTAATTAGTTGATAATAGTTCTACTCTTCTCAAAACTCGATTTATAAGTTAGGTATCATCAAGCACAGATCAAGGAAATCAATAAACTAAAGATATGGGTCGTTTGAGTTCACAACAATGCCTTTTAGGCTAACTAATATCCTAACTATCTTCTGCACTTAATGAATGTGATATTTTAATCTTATTTAGATATTTTTGTGATTGTCTGCTTTCACGACATCTTGATCTATAGCCACAACATATAACAATATCTAAAGCACATTTTATTGTGTTGAACACTTCATCAACATGACTTATATTTGAACCCATCAAGTATAAATATATAGTGATAGAGATTAAACTTTTTAGGACACATAATAGACAAAGGAAGGGTACGAATGTATCTTGACTTCGATAAATGTCAAGACACTAAGGTCATTCATAAGTCGTACTAATTAATATATGATGTTATTAAGGTTTTTTTAAGAGTGGTTGCACTGCTCACCAACCTCACACGTAATAACAAACAATGGTGATGAACCAAGTAATGTATCATAGTACTTTGGGCATTGAAGAAAGTGATTACAATTGAATCAACTTTCTACTTTTCAAACTTCACCAAGTCATTGCACACAGATGTTAACAATGATATTGTTGGGGGTGTCTTCAACCAAGAGGCACACTAAGTCACTTTCAAGAGTAGAAAACTCAACAATGATGAATGTAATTACTCTATATACGAACAAAAGATAATTTTCATTATGTAATACCTCTGAACTTGGAGGCATTATCTACTAAGAAATTATTTTATAATATACATAGATAATGTAGTAGTCATCTACTTCAACGCACAACCTAGATTGACAACAAAATAAGTTAGTTGGTAGAACTAGTTAAATATAATTTCATAATATAATATAATTATGGAGTACTAAACATGATCACGAATATGTTAAGTAAATGGGACAAAATCACAAGCACAAATGAGTTGAGAGTGACCAGCCCCATTACATAATTCTTCTAACAAGTCTGAACAATGTGCATAGAGGACAGTTAGGCACGTAAACTCTTAACTATATTCAAGAAGACATATTATAACATTATTATTCAGAGTATGTCTTTATGTACATAAGAGGGTGTTGAATATACATTCTGACCATTAGAGGCTTTCAACATATATTAGTCATAGAGGTGCACAATACATCATTGTCGAGACACCCTTAATAACACATTATTGTTGTTCAGTTGAGACTTATTTTAATCAAATATGAAGAAGGATGTGAAAGCCTATGTAGAGTTACACTTTATTTATCAGCAAGATAAAATAGAGTGTCAAAGGCATGCAGACTTTATACAACCACTACTTATTTTAGAGGGTATGATGACATACCATTACATTATACTTGTCTTTCTAGGAATGGATCCAATGACTACATCTTATTAATTTTCGATAAGTTATTTAAATATGAGAACTTTGTGTCAATAAATCATTATTACATGATAGACAATGCATCCCGAGTGATATTCAAACATGTTATCTCAATTAATTATCTTTGATTGTGATGCTCACTTCACATGTCGAATTTAGAAGGTCTTATTTGTCAAACTTAACATGAGACTCAACTTCCTTACAACATATCACCACATATAAATGGTCAAACTTAACATCTCAATGCACTACTACAAAGTTATTTTAGACATTATGCAACAACTTCTCATGACAATTGAGTGAAATTTCTTATCATTATACAACTAATATAACCCATATTTCAGTAGTGTCAAATGTTATTATCCATTTGAACTAGCAACCAAGTGCTAACTACTAATGTCCCTACAATTATTAAACATCTTAAATTATTGTCACACAACATCAATGTTAGTATGCAAATATATAGATGCTAGAGGAAGTAAATGACAAATTATAGTGAACTGTTAACTAAATAAAAAAGTGAATTGTTCGATACCATCAAAAAGTTGAATTTAAAGTAAACAATCAATGTTTATCATTTGTACCTATAAAATCATAGGTGCACACAAAATACCTCAAAGAATAAGAGGCTCCTCCTAAGATATGAGGGACCATTCATCATAGTGCAGTGTATAAAATAACATCTTATTTTTCACGTATCACTCTTCAAGAAATACAAGACAATTACAATAAACCTTCAATGAAATCAACTCAAGTGGTAATTATCACCGCAACCTTCACCATTAGACAAACTTCTTACTCTAATAGGAAAGAGAGTCATAAGAGGAAACAATGTGAAACCTAGAGAAAAACTTGTGATAGTTTGATGACCAACTAGAGTAATACCTCTCCTACCTCCTAATGAAGATATTAGATTCTCCAAGAGGGAGACAATGTCACAAGGAAAGTAATATATCATGTGGTCATAGTGTGTTGAAGGAACATCATCGGTGCGTGAAAATGGCACAATACATGTAGAAGGAAGAGCATGTGTAGCTGTCACACAATGTGTGGAGATGAGATAGTGCATGTGATGATGCTACATAGGCAGTTGACACAAAGTGTGTAGGTGACATAATACGTAGTGGGCCACTGTGTGGGCAGATGACACAACATATACAAGTGGCATAAATGCCCCCGACAAGACACATAAAGGCACCAATAGTCCCACGCAAAGGTGGGACCCAAATCATGTGACTAAGCATGTGATTGACAATGCACATACAAGAGTAAGTGCAAAGTCATTCTCACAAGATGGAGGGAACACATATATGAGTAGATCTTGTGCAGCCACAGTGGACTATGGAACACTCATGATAACAATCAATGGCTACCCATCAAGTGTAATAGTCACCTAGGGAGTGTAATGGCTAGGAGGAGCCCTCATAGTATATGAGATGATGAAAAATCTTTTGGGTCCTCCCTCTTGACTCCCTTATCCATATGAGTGAAAAGGAATGCAAGTTAGGGCTTGAGGTGACATCCCAATGCCTACATCTTGGTTGGGATGTAACACAATTGATTGCATTAAAGGACCCTAAGTGGATAAAGGCTGAGGAAGAAATAAAAGCCCTAGAAAAAAAAAGAAAACATGAGAATTGCTGGATTTATCAATAAGCAAGTCAACCACAAACTCTGTGGGTATTTATCATCAGATAAGACTATAGTGATAAAGTCATTAGGTATAAGACTTGCTTGATTGTACATGTTGTAAAGCTAAAGTCAATAAGTATGTTTTGATTTGAAACTATATCGACTTGATGTCAAGAATGACTTCTCAAATGAAAACTTAGATAAAGAACTATATATGAGTCCTCCAAATTTAAACATTAAAGGTAAAGTATGCTAGTTAAAGAAAGTAATTTATAGATTAAAATAATCTCTTAGAGCATGATTTAGGTGAGTTCGTCAAGTAATAACTCATTTTGACTATTAACAATGAAATACAAATTATACTTTTTTGTAAATAGAAAAAAAATAGTAGTTACATTATTGTAATAGTGTATTTTGATGATATGATCCTTATTGGTGGTATTGAAAATGAAATACAAATGTTAAAATATAACTTAGTAAAAGAGTTCAAAGTCAAAGATTTAAGAGACTTAAAATACTTCTTATGTATCAAAGTTGAAAGATCAAGAAAAGGCGTGCATTTGTCAAAGAAAATATACTCTAGATATCTTAAATGAAACATGAAAATTAGAATACAAAGCATTAATTATATTCAAATAAAAAAAACCTTCATCTAACTAATACAGATGGAGAAAAAAACACAACTGAATTCAAATGCACTTATCAAAAAAATATTGAAAAACTTTTTGTGTATTTCACTAATAATATCATATTTATATATTTTTTGTAAATAAAATGAGCAAATATATGCATGTCCCTTGTAATACTGAGATGTAAGTGGTCAATCGAATATTAATATATTTAAAATCATGCTCAGTTAAAAGCTTATTTTTTTCAAAAACGAATGACTAATGCATTTAAGGATTTATTGATGTAAATCAGATCTCATGATGATATAAAGTCTACTATAGAGTATTGTATATTTTTGGAAAGAAATTTCATCATGTAGAGAAGTAAGAAACACAGTAGTAGCAAGATGAGTACATAAACCAAATATCTAGCTGTCACATGGGCTAATTGAGTTGTTATGGTTAAACAATTTATCTAAGATCTCGGCTGTACATTAAACTTCCACTCAAACTATTTTATGGCAGTATTTTGTATTATGGATATGGACAAGTTGAATGTAGTTGACATCTAAGTTTAATTTTCGTGTGTTAATGAGGTATACAGTTTATCTACAGTTTAATAAGGTATACAATTTATGGAAGTATCATCTACAGTTTAATTTCTTATAAGGTTTTATTGTAATTTCGGTATGTAAATAAAACCCTACGGGCGTTCCCAAATCGAACAATTCCGTTATCATTTCCGCGCCGCCCCTCCTTCGAGGCAGGTCGCGACCGTGGCCGCCTCACATCGTCGTCTCCCCTCGTCATGGAATAGGGGCTTCGTCTCGTCAACGTCTCCCCTTGCCGCTGCCTCTACGGGCTGCGGGACTATCTCGACGTCGCCTTTACTGGCTGCGAGCTCGTCTCGCCATCACCTTCCTCGTTGCTGCTCTGGCTCATTGTTGAGTCACTAGCCTTCCGCCTCCTCACCTCGACTCGTCCTCCTCGGATCGTCTTCGCTGTCCTCCACTCGTTCTTCTTTAGTGACTATGCCTTATTAATTACGGCTGGTACTTTTTCCTGGGGGTCGTGAAGGATGGCCACTGTTTTTGCTCCCTGTCCTTCCGGTGTCCATCTGCCATTGACGCACAGAGGACCTGGATCTCCGCCAATTAGATCAAATTCTCTTATAAATGTTTATGGACAGTGCCGCCTCGAAGGAGCCAATTTATCGTCCTATAATTCCCTCACGGTATGTTTAAGTTTCTCTGTCTGTCTGGTATCTTCTCTGTTCCATGATGAATAAAGAACCGTCAAAATTGTTGATTCGAAGGTTAGAAAGGTTGTTGTTTGCTGTCACAGAAGATTCGTGGATGGCATCTGGTGTCACAGTTGGTACAAGAGGGATAGTTTGTTGGATTCTATCTTTTCTTTGTCAATTCTCTCATTGGTGATTTTATAACTTATCTCTTAATTCAATGTTCATGAATCGCTCCACTTCCAATCACCTAAGAGCAACTGCTTCTGGTGTATTTCTTGATTTTTATAAAATCATCCTTCTTGCTAGTATATTCTTTTGACCTTGTACATCGTCCTGTCTTCTATAGATATTTTGATAGACCTGTAAGACCATGGAAATCATTATAGCTTGATTACGGAAAGTTATGTGATTCGTCGGTTAAACCAATTTGTTGTCCTTGGGTTGGTTACCTTGTGTTTTGATAATCGCAATAAATCTTCTTATTGTCTGACCACTTAAATGCTCTAATCAGTTCTTGTTATGTGGGTTTGATGAACCATTTTTTATTTACAGCATGGAAAGGCCTTGCTGATGTATAGAATTTCAAATTGCAATTTTCAACGGAAAAATTCTGGCACATTCATTGTCAGATGCGATTATCCTCAAAATGCTGATTTGCCTCGTTATTACTCAAAGAGGGAGAAAAAACCATTTCCTATCCCAGTGTTGGAGTTGAGACGAGCTGCAAGAGAGAGACAAAAAAGTTCTAGGGGGAAGCCCAAGAGACCGACACCACCTCCCAAGAATGGAATGCTGGTTCGGAGCTTGATTCCAGTTGCTTACGATGTATTCAATGCAAGAATACTGCTGATAAATAATTTGAAAAGCCTCATGAAAGTGGTGCCTGTGCATGCTTGCAAGTAAATTTTCTCTACTCTCTTTGGTTCAGTATTTTTGTCTACATTCCGAGTGATAGGATGTGGATTGTTGCTTGGCCCTTTCTTTCTGGTGACTAATCATTGTGTCCTGTTGACTGCCCTTTTTTAATGAGCCCAACATCAGCAAAAGATAAGAAGAGCAAATGATTGCACATCTTAATTGTTAGTATGGTCCCACATTAATTAGGAAGAAACAAAATTGAGTTATGCGCATTTCTATCATTAACGGTTTCGATTTGAAAACTCAACCTGAATTTGTGCATTGTTCAATTTGTTTCAGTGTACTAATCCCTCCACGAGTACACTTCCATCCTGCATTAATTTCTGTAAAACATCTCCAGATTTCTTGAGAGCATTCTAACTATTTATTTCTAATTACCCCAAAAGTGGGGTTTCATAGAAAGAATTCTGATGGTGACGCTTTGAAAATGAATTCCCCTGGATTCTGTCTTTGAACGGCCGTTACCATCCTGCTAGATGAAACGAAGATGGTATCAGTGAATGCTATTTCCAATTTAAGATATTCTGCAGTTTCGGTCAGCTTGCCTTGTGCCTACTCCAGAAAACCACGGGGTTCTAAGCTGGTGGATGTAACAGATTTTACTTTTCTGCAGACATTGCAACGAGATTCACGTCGGACCAGTCGGGCACCCATTCAAGTCGTGCCGCGGCCCAAGGGCGGAGGCTCGCCAGGGCCGTCACGAGTGGACAAGGGCATCGGTAGAAGATCTGCTCGTGCCCGTTGAGACCTTCCACCTATTCGACCGACTCGGGAGGCGCATCACCCACCAAGAGAGATTCTCCATCCCTCGCGTCCCCGCGATTGTGGAGCTCTGTGTCCAAGCCGGCGTCGACCTCCCCGACCTTCCCACGAGGAGGAGAAGAAAGCCCGTCATCCGAATCAACAGGAGCGAGGTCATTGACGCCGACGAGGATGATCTACCAGAACCAGAGCCCGACCCGCACCAGAAGCCGCTGTTAACCGAGATGCCCGACTCTGAAGCAGACCCTCCCTCCACCGAGGAGGAAAAGATCCTGCTATCGGAAGCGACCCTCCAAGCATGGGAGACACTGAGGGACGGGGCCGACCGGTTGATGAGGAAGTACGTCGTCAGAGTCTGCGGCTACTGCCCGGAGGTGCACGTCGGCCCTAGCGGCCACAAGGCGCAGAATTGCGGGGCCTTCAAGCACCAGCAGCGGAACGGGCAGCACGGCTGGCAAGCCGCCGTGCTCGACGACCTGATACCACCGAGGTACGTCTGGCACGTCCCCGACGTGAGCGGCCCGCCGCTGCAGAGGGAGCTGAGGAGCTTCTACGGGCAGGCGCCGGCTGTGGTGGAGCTCTGCGTGCAGGGCGGCGCCGCGGTCCCCGAGCGGTACAAGCCCACCATGCGCCTGGACATTGGCATCCCCGCAAGCGTCAGAGAGGCCGACATGGTCGTCTGAGCGGCGGTGGCGGGGGCTTCCCGTCTCTGTAAATTTTATAGCTTCGTTTATCGTGAGCTATGAGAAGCTTTTGGAGGAACTCAATTACTGGAGCATCATCTTCTACCTCGGGCCGGGCTTGAGGTATTCTGGGCACAATGATCCCTAGAAGCTGGGGGAGAGCTAGGGGCTGCCGGGCTTTGGCCCCCACAGGGGAAGAAGGGAGGGTATGTGGGCTTCAAGAGTGGGGCGGGGGGCCACCGGAAGAAGATGACTGTGGAAGGCTCTCGGCGAGTAATTTTGTCTGGGCTCAGATACTGGGCCGGACACTGGCCGTCCATTCTCGTCCAAGCATTGGTTTGTGGGCCTGATTTTGAGGCACAAACATTTCGTCGTTTTATGAAATGTGATCGATCAGATGGGCATTTTACAAATAGCCCTTTCAGAAACAAGATTTAGTGATTATACCGATTTTAAGCCCAAAACCTCTCTACCGGCGGCGTCTCCCCCCCTCTCTCTCTCTCATCTATAGCTCCGCCGTCATCCATGGCTCCCTCTCTGCTGTGTCCGAATCCCAATCCCAAGCTCTCCTTGCCGTTCTCGTGGAGGCCGTGCCCACCCCGCTCTCGCGCCGCCTTCTTCCCCAGGCCCTTCCCCGGCCAGTCCTCGTCGGGGTATCTCGCGGGGCACATCAAATGCTCCCTCGGCTCCCGCCCCGAGTACATTCCCAACCGCATCCCCGACCAGAACTATGTTCGAATTTTCGATACCACGCTCCGGGACGGCGAGCAGTCGCCCGGCGCCACCATGACCAGCGCGGAGAAGCTCGCCGTGGCACGCCAGCTCTCCCTCCTCGGAGTTGACATTATCGAGGCCGGGTTCCCTGCCTCGTCCCCCGATGACCTCGACGCTGTCCGGACCATTGCCATGGAGGTTGGCAACCACCCTATGTCTGCAGATCGGCACATTCCGGTGATCTGTGGTCTCTCGAGGTGCAACAAGAAGGATATTGACGCCGCCTGGGAGGCGGTGAAGCACGCCCAGAAGCCGAGGATTCACACATTCATTGCCACCAGTGATGTCCACTTGCAGTTCAAGCTTAGGAAGACGAGGGAGGAAGTAGTGAACTTAGCCAGGGAGATGGTCGCGTATGCAAGGAGCCTCGGTTGTCAGGATGTGGAGTTTAGTCCAGAAGATGCTGGCCGGTTTCTCTCTCTCTCTCTCTCTCTCTCTCTCTCTCTCTCTCTCTCTCTCTCTCTCTCTCTCTCTCTCGCTCACTGAATCATTAACTCGCACACTCATTCTCTCAGTCTCACCGATTCATTTACCCAACCCGTCACTCTCTCACTCCAGATGACGGTGTCTTGTAGGCTACCGGTTATCTTTTTAGATCACACACATTTTTGTGTTAATTATCTCCAAGCGGACTGTTTCTGGGCAATCGGCTACCGGTTTTAGTCATGATTACTTTGTTCTTTTGGAACTATCGGTTGGCTGACCACCATCGGATTGCTATTTCTCTTAGATAAGATTCTCTGTTTTTTGCTTATCACGTCATACCATCCCCTCTTACACAGACAATACGTCCTGGAATTACGGATGCAAACTGGAAGATCTTTTTTTTTTTTTTTCCCTACTTGCGCTGCACCTGTTCCGTAGATGTGGGCTAGATGGGTAGGATCCATGCAGATGGGTTAGGTTGTGCCAGCTGGTATGGTAGCCCTTTGACTCTATGCCAAACAGGGTTCTACAGTTAAGTTGCAATATCCTATTGTGTAATATGCACTGGGACATGCTAGGTGGAGTCGAGCTAATGAAAAGGCAGCCATGCCACACGACTACTTTAAACTTTTAATGCTAGAGTAAATCTTTTGTTGTTTAGCACTCTTTTGTAAAGAACATCTTGCACCAACTGTTGGGTGGTTGCTTGTTTTGCCTTGCCTAGCCATTGTATGCGGCACGTTTTGCTTCTGAGATAAATGCTTGATCTCTCGTTTCTTTTCCCGGCGGTACAAGGTGAGTTTGTTGATTTGACGGCTGTCTTTTTCATTGACTATCCCTCTTTCTGAGTCAAAGGTTGTGGCGTTGACTCTAGCTTTTGTCTACTACGCTCTTTGAAAAATACATTAGTCTTTTAACAATCTCCTCGTTTCTTGTTGTTGAAAAGGATCTCTAATCTTTGTCACCAAACAGCTTAGGTTCTGAGAAAAAAATATCATGACCTCTTTGTAACAAATATTTTCGTTCAAAGAGTGGAGTGCATTTTTTCTGCTCAAAAGGTAGCTGCGGATTTTATTTTATTTTATTTTATACCGCTGTGAAAGTTCGTACTTGGTTTTGTGAAGATCCAGTTTGATCCGTGCTTTTTTTATGTAATCACTTGAGAGCCAATACTGAATTCTGTTTCCCACATTATCTTCAGATCTGATAGGGTGTTTCTGTACCACATCCTCGAGGAAGTAATCAAGGCTGGGGCCACCACCCTCAATATTCCTGACACTGTTGGGTACACTCTGCCTTTTGAATTTAGGCAATTAATCAGTGATATAAAGGCTAACACTCCTGGGATAGAAAATGTTATTATTTCAACGCACTGCCAAAATGACCTAGGCCTGGCAACTGCCAACACCTTAGCGGTAGGTATTTTCAATCCTATCAAGTCTGATTGCTTCCTTACAGTTGCTTTTGCTCACGTAAATCTCAAATGTTTTGAGTGATTAAGGGTGCCCAAGGGGGAGCTAGGCAATTAGAAGTCACCGTCAATGGCATAGGTGAACGGGCTGGAAATGCTTCCCTGGAAGAGGTCTGTATTCACCTTCAATCCGAATTAGATGTTTTCATTTCCACTTTTCTATTCAGAGGTATCAGAATACTTGTAGTCCGGTATGTGTAAGCTTATTGTGGCATGTCTAGATTATTCATCACCATTTTACTGATCTTCAGCAGAAGAGAGTTGATGTTTGGTTCCTTTGCAACATGGACTGCCAACGGGAACACTAGCGATAGCAAATAAATGTGAGATGAAGTCCGATAAGGGTGTGCTGATGGAACTTCATGCAGGTGATATACAGGGAAACGATAGTGGTTTAGAGGAAGTGAATGTGGACGAGGAGAAAAGGAAGATAAAACAAACTCTTTCCCAGGTTTTTTGCTTTGAATGGATTGGATTATCAAATGAATTGCAATGGAGTAGATGTGGTTTTTGGGGACCACTGATCTAGTTTTTACCCTTTCAGTGCCTTTTTTTAATGAGTCAAATGGGGGATATCTTCAGGGGAACTAGATCACAAAGAGAATGTTTTGTGACGAACGCAAAGCTGTTTTTTTTTTGCCGCCATTACAAGTTATCACGATCTCTAAAGTTCCTTAATTGGCAGATATAATTTCTTACATTTTTTATGGGTGATAACACTTGATCCGTGCCAAATGAAGAAGGAATCTGCGAACCGTTCTTTTTAGTTCAGTTTTTCATCATTGCATACGAACTTTAAGTAGTTTGTCCCTTCCCTGAGGCAATATTCTTATGCCATTTGAGTTCTTACAGGTTGTTATGGCAATCAAGATGCGCCGGGAATTGTTAGGTGGCCTTTACACTGGGATTAACACGAAACATATCGTCATGTCGAGCAAGATGGTATTGTTTTTTTGTTATTTCTATTGCATATTGATTCATTAATTTCGATTTTCAACTTAACTTTGGTATAACATAATTCTAGGTGCAAGAACACAGCGGGCTGCATGTACAGCCGCATAAAGCTATAGTTGGAGCCAATGCATTTGCTCATGAAAGTGGCATTCACCAGGTCTGTGTATCATCTCTTGATTCTATCTACTTTTTTTTCAGCATCGACACCACATTGTGTCAACTTCTGGATGTCTAGACAGAAGCCAAACCTGACAGTCTTGACGCTGTGATTGAGTTGTTACACACAGCCCTATTTCAATTGGTCTCTGAATTTCCGGGTGACTTGCTAGTAGATGTGTAGATATAATTCTGCGTTTACCATTTGCACGCTGATAAAATGTGAAGTTGTCTTATAAGTACCTACTTAAGATCCCTACAATATGCATCATCCTGCATGACGGTAGTTGTGAATTTTCCATACCCTGCTTCGTCTGGATTGTTGGGCAACCTGGAAGCGTGTCTGTGTACATACCCTTTGTCTCAGATTTGTGTATGAAATGTTGCATATTAATTGGTACATTGTTTCTATGTGTTGTAGGATGGCATGCTCAAATTCAAAGGTACATATGAAATTATTTCCCCCGAAGACATTGGGTTGACACGATCAAACGAATCCGGTATTGTTCTCGGAAAACTTAGGTATGAAATGGTTATTCCAATTCATTAGATATCAGTGTCTAGATGGCCTACAGTTTTCTGGTCATCTGACCATCTATAATCCATGGTCCCGTTTTGAACTTGGGAAACTGAAACACGTTGAGATATCTTCAAATCTTCATGAATTAGTGTCGTCGTATGATGAAAATTTCCTGTTCATATTGTTGTCTCCTCGCCCCTCCCTGCAAAAAAGTGAAAATAAATAAATGATGTTGTTCTCAGGAGGTTCTTCTTTCATGTCATTTTGTTTATATGATCATAATTTTTCCATTAGCAAATCTTCTGTCTGTGTATTTAGTCAGGGATAGGGGGAGGGCAGATGAATGAGAAGACTGAATGGAGGAAGAAATTAGAAGTGAGAGAGATGAGTAGAACAAGAAGAGTTGAAAATTTGTATGATTGAATTTTCAGTACTGTTTTCTCTTGAAGACCAGTCTTTGATCAGTATTCATACAGCCAGACTAAAATAATAAAATACTTCACTGACAGAGGTTTAATTCCTTTAATAATTCCGTGAAATACTGAAATACTCTCATTTTTTCACTGACATTGTTGCTGTTGGGACTTGATTTTGATCACCTCTGAATTTTTCTACACTACATGTCGGACTTGCTCTCTGTGTGTATTCACTGAGCATCCTCTCCATGTACATGTGCATTTTGATTACAATAATTTCAGGATTCCAAACACTAAGCTGTTTTCATCACCAGCATAAGTTCATTGAGAGAGCAAACAGCACCGTATTCCAATTGTATATTATGTGTCAGGATATGCCCTATTTTGACCGATCCATTTTACGAAAGATAGAGGTTTACATTCACCTTGGAAAGTGAGTTGTTTGAACCCTTTTGTATAATTTGGAGCAGGAGATAGGGGCTGAACTATCTCTGAGCTATGTTTGTTTCTTTGGATTTCTTTTATTCTCCCATGGGACGTGAGAGAGAGAGAGGCTTTCCATCTACGTGGAAGGTGGAGTTTGGCTCAAATTCTAGGGTCAGAAGAACCGTTTTCATTGAAAAAAGGAGTGGGCTTTTTTTTATTCACTAAATGGAGAGTCTGTGTTTCTTCTTCTTTCGTGACATAATGGAGAGTCTGTGTTTGCCATTGTAATGTGTGCTACAAATGGGTATTTGCTTCACAGAAATAGGTCCTTGAATCTGTTCTTATTTACTATGATCTCCTGGATTTTTTAAGTCAATTTTCCTTCCCAATAATTGGTCGCCAAAATAACCGTTCTAGCATTGACGTTTGGCATATGTTCTATTAGTTGGCTGCTATGATTGTGATATTTGAAGTAGGATGACTCGCACTATGGCTTGAGAAGAGTTTCGCAGATGGCTTGTTTTGTATATCTATCGTATTAGTGCTAGTTCTCTCCAAGTCATCTGGAAGTTGTTGTTCCTTCCAGTTGCTAAAGTAATTGACATTTTTTTCTTTCTTCTTTTATAAACCTCACTATATTTCTGTTACAGTGGGCGTCACGCGTTGAGATCAAGGCTTTTGGAGGTACCTTTTATCCACTGCGCTTGTTTTCTATCATCATAATTACAGAGGGCAGCAGTTTTAAGCGCAGCGTACTCTTGCAGTTTGGCTATGATATCAATGGGAAGGAGCTTGATGATGTCTTCAAGCGTTTCAAGGAGGTTGCAGAAAAGAAAAAGGTAATTGAGTGTAATTATTGTTCTAACCTTTTAATCATAAGAGCATGCTGCAATTTCGAACTTTCGTTGCATTCATTTTCTCATTTCGAGATTAATCCTTGCTCCCACTGGAACCAACCAAATTTCTCATGACAGGATGTCCTGGGTTTGCTGTCTGACACGTTTAGCACACATTAATTTCTCGTTTTCACTGAATCTCATGGCAGCATGTATCTGATGACGACATAGAGGCATTGATTAACGATGAGATTTTCCAGCCTCAAGTTGTTTGGTCACTGGTCGATCTACAGGTCAGCAGATAATACTCTTCTTCTTCTTTTTTTACATGTCCTTTTACTCCAGGACCCTTCCACCACAGATCTCTGCCGGATTACATGTCACTTAAAGCAAAACAACGCAGGTCACCTGTGGAACGCTGGGTCTTTCCACAGCCACTGTCAAACTAATTGGGGCTGATGGAGAAGAAAAGATAGCATGCTGTGTCGGAACGGGTCCAGTTGACGCAGCTTACAAGGCTGTTGACACCATTGTGAAGGTAAGATGGAAGTTGGGTTGCCCTCAATCACCTCCGCTCATTTTTACCAAAATATATGATACCTTTTGTTCAGCACGTTCTCCTAACTATGGAAATAACTCACGCTTTCTTGAACCCTATGGCCTCGTGGAGGCTGTCGCCCTTTCCCTCGATCTTTTTTATTTATTTCTATGTACTTTGTCAGTAGCAGATGGTGTGTGGAACAGCCTCACAATGGAACGAATAAATGGAACTTGGGGCTGCATAATATAATAAATGATGCTTTTCAGGTGCCTGTTACCCTTCTAGAATACTCCATGAATGCTGTCACAGAAGGCATCGACGCCATAGCCTCCACGAGGGTGGTGATTGGTGGAGAGCACGAACGCTCATCGATGCTTGCCGCGACGGGGGAAAAAGTTCGGCGTACTTTCAGGTTTTCATCTGCAAATATCAACCAGTTCGGATAATCACCCTGAACGAAAGCTGACCTCTGCAATGCGCATCTTATCACTCTCTGCTGTTCTTTCCTTCAGTGGAACCGGAGCGGGAATGGATATTGTGGTTTCAAGCGTTCGGGCATATGTGAGTGCCCTAAACAAGGTGCTGGGCTTCAGAATCCTCTCGTCAGACAAGTCGTCCGCTGGAAAGTCCCGCGAATCTTCGTAATGGACGAAGCTCTATGAGGGCCATGCCACCCTCACCGTGAGATAGATAACAATAGGATCTTCTCGAGCGTAGGGTCGGGTCTACCTTGTCAAGGTTTCTTCAATGAACGGCTGTGCTATTTGGGGTTCTGTAATCGTGTGCCTGTGACTTGGTGTTCTGTTCTGTTGAAGGGTGGACTTATCTCGATGTTGGTCTGGGAAATCAAATAGTCAACACTGCCAATTTTGCTTTCTGGGTCCTACCCACCCTATCCTGCCAATGAAGAAGGTACAAGATTCGGGGTCAGCTCAGCGTTGACCCATGTAGCTGAATCAGCAGACAAGGAAAAGCTCGGTAGGTTCGGAGCCACAGCATTCTATGATTGTTGATTGCACCCCCACCTCCCAAGGAGGAATCAGTTGTTGTCGCTGTGCGCGAAATGGACTGAATTTGATAATGGGCTTTGTACTGTACACAAAACCCCAATCAGCTCAGTGACTGATCTGGCTCGAGCGGGCTCGGCCTCCTGGAGTCGTGGTTTAAACACGAGAAGACCGATAGAAACGTGGGAGAGAGAGAGAGAGAGAGCGGAGGAACCCATGGTCAGACTACCTCTTTTCCTTCAGATGAGTTGAGTACTTGAAACCTGGAGCTCAGGGGTGAAAGTTGGGAGGAGAATCCGATAGATGGTAAAATAGCGGCAATGAAAGGAACTACGACATAAAATAGGGGGGCAGCTGTGAATTGGGAGATATTTGATTCAGCCATGCAGTCTACCATACAGTACGAGCAACAAAATAATTTTTCAAAAAAAGAAAAGCGAGTAATTGCAGTAGGTGATAAGATCCCCAGTGCCCATACAATGAATCAGCACCAACAGTTCACGGCTCCAACTCTGACTACATCTCTCTGTCTACCCAGTGTCCAACCCCTTCTTGCCCATCTCCGGCTATCCCTGGCGAGCCATAGCAAAAAAACGAATAAATGCTTACCCTTTGCCCCTCTTTGTCCGCCTCCAGTGGAGCCTCTTATTTCGCTGATTTTAGTAAGAACCGGGCCATCTCTATATTCTCTTCAGTCCCAAGAAAAGGAGGAAAAAAAAAAAATCTTTGCAAGAAACATGCCCGCCAATATTTGACCACCACGGACTGTTGTGTCATGTAGAAAGATATACATAACTGGATAGAGCCTTCATCAACCAGGTTGATGAGAAAGACCCAAACATGTGATGAGCTAATATGAAGACAACTCCCGCGGCATGGGCAATGACCGCGCAGCCTCAGTCCCTATCAAGATAGCAGAACACGCATTCAGGAAGAGCCAAATAGGAGGGTACTAAAGTATGGGGTATATATATGAAGAAGATTCAAGATGTGAGGTGATCATGCCGGAATATTCTCACAAGTAATGCATATGGCTCGAGCAGGAGCACACCATGCAGTGCTTTCCAATCAGGTAGGTAGAAGAGGTTCCCTTTCATCAGGTCCCACACGATGGCTAACCTGAGGAATTATGAAGACAGCAGGGCAAAGAGGAAGGAGACTGAGTTGCTTTATGTGCGAACCAATGAGAAACCAGAGGAAGGAAGAGAGCTATTTCTTACATCCTGAGTTGCCGCAGCTGCCATGTTAATGAAGGATTCTTCCTTTGATCTGAGAACAAGCATCCCGATGATGAACAAAAGTTATTCGAAGTGATATGGAATTCGGCTAGGAATACAACAACACGGGATGAGGAACCCGAATTGGCAAAGTGGCGATCGGGCAGAAGAACATACCTGAGACCCTGAGAATCTACACTCCCATTCGCCACCTCATCTTTGACTTTCGACATTGGTGAAAAGAACTGACAACAAAATAAGTCAACACAGTGAAGGTCGACGTCAAATTATGCAAGAAATGCCCGAGAGATTACCTGGTGCATGGAGATAAAAACAATCGATATTCCCAGAACGAAGTTTATGGTCAAGGTATGACCAAATAGTGCAGCAGAAGCTATGCCAGTGAAAATGGTAGCAACAGTTGATGAATATTTCTTTAGAATTGTGTCTGCATTCACCATAGAAGCTCTAATTAGACCTTCTGCAAAAGGCAACTAAATACGATACGCACTTTTGGTTTCGTGCGCATCATATTAAGAAAAACACCTTGACAGAGGTGAAGGTCTCACCTGCATATTTGAAGAAAAAGGAAGAGAGAATGCCCTGTGCTGCATTGTTACATATTAAGAACACCGTGGCTTTTGAATGGCCCTGAAGGATGTCGAAGCTATCGGGACCTGGGAAAAAAGAAACACAAAAAGGAGCGGGTGACTAGATGCCGGAACCACATAAGTCTAGGGAGATTTTTCAAAAAGTTTTGCGGGCTTCACAATAGTGGGCAGGCCCATCTGGCTGATCAGATCTTGACTCAGATATGATCCGGTGTAAAATTTCTTACTACCTGGCACCCGTCTAACTCATAGTGAAGGGATAAAAATGATGATACATCCTAAAGTTACCTCAGTCTATGGGCAGTCTATATTATAACTCGGTTTTTCGATTTATCGGTCACATACCAGTCTTGGAATTGAACAAGAACACTTACTCGCATTTTCCACGCATAATGAAACGAAAAAAAAAATTGTGAAAAAAACTTTAAAGACGCATTGCGAAAACATCCAGAAAGGCATCTATTGCATACTTAAAAATAAAAATGCGGAGGATGAAATAAGCAGGTTGACGCCGACGATGATGAATACGGGAATTGTTAAGGTAGCCCATATAATAGGAACCGCAGAAAATAAACAACAGCACATTACAAATTTAGACCAAACGTTGGGCTCCTCGAACCTTTGAAGATAGCCATCCCAATAATTCCAAGGAAGTTGAAAAATGCACCATAGCCATAAAGAAACAAGTTCTGCAGGGAAAAAAACACAAAAAAAGAATGCTGAGGCTTTCCATCAAACTTAAACGAAAAAAAAAAAAGACACCAAAAAGAATGTAAGCTCTGGAAACCAAAAGGGGGAAAAATGAAATCAACACCTCAGTTTCCTGTCAAAATCTGGTCAAACACACATATACAGCATTACTTGTGAAAATAATAGGCAAAGTTCAAGGCTTCCACACAAAAATAGGGGCCTAGGTAATCATCAGTCCTAGTCTTTTAAGATGAACCTAAAGCTCACTATACCTGCTCACAGCTGAACCTTAGCACTGGGTGAAGAGGCAAAAAAAAGATTCCTATGTTTCGCAAGGAATAGATACTCTAATTGGCTACTTTTTTAAAGTCTTTATGATTTCAAATTAGTGTATGTTACTCTGAGTTTATGAAGTCTTTTTTCATTTTGGGGATAACAAGAGACTATCTTATAGAATAAACCTGGGGGCATTTGCTGTTGCCTGCACGCACCTTCTCCAGGCTGTAAACTTCGAAACTGGGGCTTTGTTGTGGGATAACTAGTGCATGACTTGTGGATCACAGTTTTGATATAGAACATGTTTCCTTTAGCTTACTTCCTAGTAAGAAAGTGCACCATCTAAATTCCAATTCTGTAAAATTACTCAGTCAGCTAAACAGGATTGGACTATTAAGACTAAAGAAAGATTGGGAAGAGGCTCTAATTGTCCTTTACCTCATGTAGCACCACAAAGGCTCAGGTTAGACATGTTATTAACCCAAAAACAACCTAGGCAAGTCTCAAGGATTAAAAAATCAATAAAATCGGGTCGGAACAGCCATAATCTGTGAATGGTTGTTACCAGCAAATTCAACCCATTATTTCCCGTGCCACTTCTGGATTAGCGTGGGGAGGTTAGTTTGGATGACTTAAAACGGATTGGAGAAATCCGGGGTGGCACTGTTCGTGATCACAGGCGACACCAGATCTCAAACCCAACAAAACTTTTTTTTTTTGCATTTTTAAGAAATATTTGCACTGAAGAGAAATATTTGCTACGCATGTCAGTTGGACTTAAAAGCTTTAAGCTCAGATCGCTGACTATTCCCCATCATACTCGAGTGAATCAGACTAATTTTTTCTATCCCAAAGCCTGCTATTATATAGGAACAGCAGACCCACATCACAAAATAAATAATTTCAAAGGGTATTTATTCGAACAGGGTTTTGAGGATAAATATTATTGAATTAATATCAAAGCCATCAGGATTCACCAGCGTAGTTGGAAAACCCAACAACATCGAATTGCCCTTCCTCTATCTACCTCCCGTGTGCTCGTGCATACATGAATGGCAGTAAATGAGAGTGCATATGTAAATATGCATATGAAACCCCCTGCCACATTTCACTGTGTGAACTGTTGCCTCAGGCAATAATTTCAGAACTCTGACTGTAACCCACATGAAAAAGGTTATAACAGTTTTGAAGAATAGAGTTGAAGTTACTAGACTAAATCATTCTTCATCGTTTGGTATTAAGCAAGTACATTCCGTGTTAAAGAATCACCTGAAGATAGATACTCGTATCAAACTGGCTCTTTAAAGCATACTCATTGAAAACCGAGGCCATAGAAGGAACAGTTACCTGAAAAGCAAGTATCCACATAAGTACCATACAATTGCAAATAAAAAATTTCCTAAGAAAGTTTTACACAATAAAATTAAAAGAAAGCATCGACGGTGAGAAATAACATTGTATTGAAGGAAGAAAATCCATTATTATAAGGCAAATAATCACATCACTGAACTGTGACCAAAGATCCTCCCACAATCTTAAAAATATTCAATTTCCTGCCCAGTGGGAAATTAATATTTCAAGAAAGTTGAATATTTTCAGTGAATATTTGAAATTATGAGATAGACTGCAAGAAATCCACAGAATTTCAAGAAAGTTGAATATTGTCAGTGAATATCTGAAGTTATGAGATAGACTCCAAGAAATCCACAGATATGTAGCGTCGAACTCCCCGGGACGTCTTTCTGTAGTAGGTCCGCAAAGTCAAACAAATCGATGAGATTTGCTATATATTGCAAGATTTCACAAGATCCACTCCTTCCTTTTTCTTCCACATACTACGTCCCACACAATGGCATCGGTAAACATGCTGTAAAATTTACTTGCCTGTGACCAATATCTACAACATTAATGCTTTGAATCATCCAGTAACATAAAAGGAAACTACCTGCCGTTTTAAAAAGTTTACAAACTTTTCATAGAGCCAGAAGTAAAAAAAAACGCTTATGAATCAAAGTTTGCAGTTTTCGTACAAAATAACCTCCAAATACTCGTGAATTCCAGATTACCCGAAGTTGTATGCCTCAGTTTAAAACATTTTCGATCGGGTCAAAGAAACTCAATGTTTTTAAGACTATGGCTCTTGACTCAAATCATCCTACATGTTGAAGGCTAAAACTCCAATACAAGGTAAACTGGTTGAATTGGCGAACCAGTTTTCATTATGAGAATTTAAGCCTCACTTAAGTTTCACAGCTTGATTCCTCATAGAAAAAGACAAATTCTACATGAAATGAGAGTGTTCCATGGAATTTCGATGTCCCATCACTGGTTCCCAAAACAAATCAGCAAAAAAATGATCACCATCAAAATTTACCCCACAAAATGTTAGTTCGTGGCAAAAGATCAGCTAAGGTACAAAAACCAAAACGATAAAATAAAGCCTATGCCACAATCAAGCCTTGGCGCGTACAGTTACAGCCTAAAAACAAACTGAATCATAAATTAGCAGCATTACATGAGATGAATAAATTTGAGAAGGATGCAGAAATGAGACACTAAACATTGTGAAGCGAGTCAGCTTTTGGGAAGGAAATATTACTTACAAATATCAATGTACATATGTATGCACCAGTGGCAACTGGAAGACCAAGGGCAGTAGTACCCTCAGGCAATGATTTAAGTTGATTAACACTGATCCCAATGAGCAAGAGGGCGAGAGCTTCCCACTGCACAAACAGCAGGTACATGTTAACTGACATCAAAGCCACAGCTAGCATGAAATATGGCATTATCCATCTCTAAAATAATTATGAATCGACAGAAGGATTTCAGAAGAAAAGACGCTTGATAGTAGTAATTTAAGTATATTGCCAAATTTAAGTATCAACGCACTAGCAATTTAATTGAAAGATTAGACTTGCCTGGATAACGGAAAATCGTCTTCTCATTATAAACTTCAGCAGGACAGCAATAACTAAAACCTTAATCATGAAAATAAAAACATAAGAACGTGCCTTTACTCGGCTAAAAAGTAGACGTATGTTCTGTTATATTCTTCATGCAATCTAGAATGAAAAAATTAAAAGATGGCTGACCACAGCAGTTAACATTTTAAAATTATGAACAGAAGAAGCATCAAACATTGAAAAGCTGTATAGCAAATACCTTGAGATTACTCAACATTTTCACAGTTGCAGGGTTAAAATACAACTGCATCAAAGGGACAAGGAATTTGTTAAAAAAGGCATGGTTAACAAAAGCTCCAGAAGCCTAAGAAAAGGTTAACAGATAACTCAGGATGATAATCAAATAGTAACATATTCACTGCAAGCCAAAGTTTAGGGATTAAAAAAAGGCCCATCACAGAAGTCCCAAAGTATCTCTGATATGTACCTGCATAGTAAACTTTAGGTAATTGTTGATAGCATATAGAAGAGCGGGAACAGCAAGAAGGACATTATTACGAGCTGCCTGTAAGATTAAAGAGGAGGAAAAAAGCAAGGCGTTAGATGTACTTACGTATGAACTAGTACATGAAGAAAAAATAATATACGAAAAGACAAGTGGCAATCAAGATGGGAACACTTCCCGTCCATGAACAGCAAATAATAGAGCCATTACGCCTGCCCTATGTTTAGTAATATGATGAAGGCACCCATCATCTAGAAGGGCATGGAAATAACACAGATCAAGAAGCATATGATATCACACTCAAACCTGCACGAACTAAACTTTGTCAAGACAATATATAGTCCCCAGCCAGAGCTGACGACCACGGTAGGTGAACGTTTTAACTTGACCAATCAGACCTAGGGGAAGAAATAAATCGCACTTAAATATCAGTCATTGATCTCCTCCCCATCATATTCTGTTCCAGGCACTGCTTTCGGTCTCTTGATATTTTTGTTCTTTTTCACCTTAATTGTCAGTAAATTAACGTCGGAAAGCTGAATATCCATGATATCAACATTGTTGCGGATATCATCCCTCTTCACACTCCCCGCTAGCATTATTCAACTGTATTATCCTTGTTCGTGCGTGGGAATCTTTAGTTAAGCTTAAAAATTTGCAGTCAGAAAATCAGGAAATACGCAAGATACTGGACAGTTAAATCCACCATGTTTTTGGTCAGTAGCTCCTGATCGAAGTGGGATCTTTTTTTAAAATACAAAGTCGGGCATGTCCTTCCAGACTAGGGTAACTCATACAAAATTTATTGCACACCATATAAAGTCTCCATAAATGTGAACGACGATGTCACACCCTCTGATTTGATGGCCTTAAATAAAATCAGTACTAAAAACTCTAAATTTGCTTGGATTTACTTTGTAACTAGAACAAGCTCGAGATTACGGCGTTTTAATGAACATAAAGTAGACTAAAAAACAGGAAGCGCTCTAATACACATATTAGATACTTTTACCTGAATAAAAGTTGAAAATGAGAGCAAGGGCTTCTCTCCAACTTTCTGCTGCCGAGCCTGAGAATTAATTTAAACAGAATAAGGACCCAAAAATCTCTCAAATGTGAATATTTTCAATAAACAATAGGACGCATGATGTAATCAAATGACAGTTGACAGATCATCACAATTCATGAGAAGAGTTTCACACGCAACTGAATGTTAATCATCAATTACTCGGTTCATCAGATTCAATTCATACAAGAAATCTATTCAATAAGTCTGCAAGAATCAGCGTCTCATGAAAAAACCAGGCATCTTAATTGGAGAATGAAAAGGAATTACAAACCTGAAGGAGTAACATGACAATGGCAAATACAACCTTTGCACACTCTGTAAGGAAGTTAACGCTAATAGGACTAAACTTGAAGCCCCCATCCACCTTGCACATGAAAACTAGAATAGGCTGCAGTAAATAAATAAAATGAACGTCAATAATTTTACAGAATCAGATTTTATATCTGGAATTTGAATGAGAATTTAGTAACAAAATATCTAACATTTTGAAATCTAGAAGCAGTATTTTATCTAACATGAATCACATGAAGTTTAAAATCAGATTTTTCTCTACACTTTGAATGAGAATTGAGTAACTAGATATCTAGCATAAATCACCTGAAATCCAACCAAAATGCAGTCACCGACAACCAAAAAGACATTAAGTGCACGGTACTTGGAGGATATTTTGTTTCTGTGGCGGTCATATGCCTTTGAGTAAGCTTTAGCGTTGGCAGACGCCATTTTAGAATGGTTATAATCCATGATCCCGTTTTTCAGCGTCTCAACTGTCCATGCATGGGAAACTCTGAAAAAAAGGAGAGAACTGAGCAACCAAATATTACCACACTTAAAGAATGAAATATGTACAGTTTCAACGTACCAACTCCCAATATGTAGAGCCACACAGATATCAATGCACTGTAAATTGAACAATGATGCATTATCATACTACGTACAAGAATTACCACTGGCGCCCATGAAAAGGATTCTTATCACTCCTCGCCATGAGGATGATATATTTGGCAATTTTCTCCAACCTTATGTCACTGTTAAAGGTGCTGCGACGGGAAACTTTCTGACCACAGTGGGTGAATGGTAATGACTTTTCAGGGCAGGGATTCCTCATGAGTACGAATTGGAGGACACAACAGACTTTTTAACTGAATTCTAGCATTAACACTTTCTTCGTACCTTTTTGCTTCACTGATACAATACCTAGCGCTAAAATCACACACCGACGAAATACAAATGTCCATAGAACACCTACTTCTAGATACAGCGTTCCGAATCCCATGGTCACGAAATCAACCAGGTACGATGCATCCCACAATAACTGGGAAGAATCTCCAACAGGCTGAAGCAACTAGGCTTGATTCCCGACTCACTGACATGTTTCTTGATTTAACAGCTATGCGATGCAAAGAAGTTAAGGGAATTAAAAACTTCCAAAAGAGGAGCGACATCCAGATAGAGAATAAAACAGAAAGCCAACAACCAGAAAAAACGACGATTCATGAGAACAATTGTACTAAGATGTGAGATCCGGTAATGCAATAAATAAAACTAGTTTGACACTGAAGAGGCCAGATGTCACGAGAACAAAGGCACTTGATCGGTTTCAATATTTTCTCGATCAAAAACCAGTCAAGCGATAGTTCCTCGTTGACAGAATAAGTAAACAATTCCAGGAACAAAAATTCTCAAATGAAATCCTCTCCCTTGATGAGATGTAAGAAGAATCCATTCAACTAAACGGCACAGCTAACCTTAAGGCCCAGATCTGGACCCAGGTAGATTTGACTGGTTTCCCGACGCGACTCAAGGGCTAGATCTGACCGACACCTCCACCGCGTGTCAACAGCATCACACCCACCGGCGGCCGCACAGAAAGCTTCGGAACCTGACGGCTCCCTGATCCGCCACAGGTCTTAACCCCACCGGTGGCTTCCCAGATCCGCCAAACACAACTGGCGGCAGCAAGAAGGCAGGAGGATCCACCTCCTCCCCCGACGTCAGGGAGCGGAGCTGCTTCAACTACTTACGCCCCCCCGCGAGATCCGACCAGGAGAAACGAAGAGAGAAACAGAGAGAAGAGGCGGGGGGCGCTTCGCGTGTAGAAATGGCGGAGAGGGAAAGTGTATTTATAGGCGGAACTGCCGCGCCATCTCTCGCTCGGAATCGACTGCAATCTCCGCCCAAATGCGCTCCTCCAGTTCCTAAAAGCCCGTTCCTGTTCCCCCGAGACGTTTCTCCCCCGGCCCCCCGTCTTGCGGCCGCCACTCTTTGCCCCTTCCCAAGTAAGAGAGAGAGCGAGAGAGAGAGATGCAAAGAGTAACTACCGATACTTTGTGGAAGATGAAACTTTTCTACAGTCTTGGGTCTTCGGCCTGCCGTCGGTGGCTCGTGTGCAAGAGGGGTCGGCGTTTGACCTCCCACGTGCTACTCTTCTACGTCAGACCTCGTCCAACGAATCAGCAGATCTCTCTCTCTCTCTCTCTCTCTCTCTTTCTCTCGCTGTCCATCTCTGTCTTACAGGAAGGCGACAGCATAATTGTCAATTAATGCAGTTTGCCGGATACTTTTCTTGCTTACAATCAGATCCATGAGCTTTTTGCCAACAACCAAACAAGAACCGATGCTGCTCGTCGGAATCGGCGGGGTAGCTGAAGAATCCAAGATGGAGCTGGGAATTTCCTGGATCTTGTTACCCGTCGATATGAAACTTCAGATCCTTGTAATATTGGTGAGATGGCTGCAGACAGCGGAAGGTACTTGGCTGACTGAGAGAGCAGCGTTGACCAGGCCAAGCTCTTCCTCTTCCACCCCGTTGGATGTTCTCAGGATGACGAAAAGTGGTCGTTGCAAGAAGCCAACTAGGTGGTCGCAGTGTTCTCTAATCACTTTCTGCGCCGCCGTCCCATCACTCTCTTGATATATTTCCATGCATATTCAATCATAACCAATGGGCGCCGCCCTCCCTCTTCGTTCTCTTCCACACGGGTCTGCTGAGATCATAAAATCGCCCGGAAATACACGAGGCCTTTTACTTAATATGTTTTGTATAAAAAAATATTTCTTTGGATAGATAAAAAATTACCCAGTTCTCCTGATTCCTGTTTCTGGATAAATATGTTTTCGAAATTAATTTCAAAAATCTATAGGTTTCAGATGTAATTCTGAAGGGCCAAGCCCATATCACTGGGCCAAGCTAAACCCATCGGTTGAGCTGGCTCGGAGTCTTATGAGTTGGGCTTCACAGTGAGGCCCAACATGAGACTTGGGATTTGGCCATTCCAAGCCCAATATTCCATAGTCCGAAGTTATGCCCACGTGGCAAGGATCATGGGTCATTTGGGCTATATAGACCTGTCCTTTTTGGTGGCATAACTTCCATGGATTGTTGGAAGAGGCCATGTTTGAGTGGTGGAATCGCAGCCAATTCTTTTAATACTCCTTGAGAAAAGTTACAACGGTTGTGAAGTGATCGTCTCCTCTTGCATGGGATTTGCACAATCAATGAATAGGCGATGTTTCTTGGTGGAAGTATGTGGAGAATGATTGAGTTGGCTCGCTTTGGCAGGTACACGGATCCAAACATGTAAAAATATGGACAAAAAGATTATCCAAGACTTGTAAGAATTTGTTGTGTATCTTGCCTCTCTCTCCTCTCTCTCTCTCATGTTTGCATTAGTTTATGTTGTAAAAATGAGTGGGCAATCATCTCCTAACAACTAATATCAGAGCTTCTAATTTTCAAGCACATTAATATAGTGAAACTTATTTTCAATGAACTTATTTAGAGATAAAAAGTATAAGTTGCAGCCACAAACGAAAGAAAAGCTAAGATCGATAAGTTGATGAAAAGTATTTTGGTCTCTGAAAGATAGTAGATTGAGGCTTATTTGTATTAGAATAAACCTTATAAATTATTTTATGATTTGAAGCCAAATGGGATGTTATTATATGATTACGATTTGTTGGATAAGTAAGCCCTAAGAGTGTTCGTCTCACACTTTTCAGAAATGTTGTGTTCAACATTTTAAATAAAAATATCATAGTTGGTACTAATATACTTATTCAATTTAAAATTAATTCAAAAAAACCACAATGTCTCTACTGCATACCACATCAATGAGTTCAGTTTAATATTCAGTCAATTGAACTCAATAGATATCATGTTTTATAATGAGATTAGGGTTTTAATCATCTTGTCTTCTTTGCTCTAGAGTTGTAGAGCCATTATTACTATTGTTAGTAGTTCGTTTAGATCTACAAAATGATGTTGGGGGAGATACATGATTTGTTTCTAAGCAATAATGTTTGTTAGAGAGAATTAAGGGAAAATCTAATTATGTCTTAAGGTTCAGAAATAAGAGAAGAGCATATGTCAATAATCTGAAAGATGCAAAGTGAAAGTAAGAAGTCAATCTAATTCTGTATGCAATAATGCTGAAAATGTGAGAAAAGATGACACATCAAGAAGTAACACAAGAAAAAGAAAAATATATGTCAATCAAGGTCAAAACATTGATGGTAATTTTGCAAATTGCATGTATAAGAGATTTAGAAAACTCTAATTTTGAATGTAGATAGTCCAATGGAGTCATAGATCTTAGAAGAAGTGGATGAACAACTATGCTAATAAAAATTATGGCAAGATATAAATTGTGTTGATAAATTAAACATTTAAATCAGAGCTTTTAATAGAATTATGTATGTTGTTGAATTTAAGATTAATTTAATATATATAAAACAATCAAATAGTGACAATTATATTACAACCTTTGTGATTGACTTGTGGAAAAATCACAAAAAAATGATGATTACAAAAGTCACAAAAAATAACAATTTACATTTCATCACTATTAATTGCTGGAATAATTGTAATAGCTGATACATAAATTGATACCAATACATGATATTGTATATTGGGACATATCAATTGGAAATAAATGAAAGTATTGATGCCAAAAGATAAACAATTTTATTTAGAATCAATGACAATTTGTCTTTGTAATATTGTTGGTAACTTGAGAATGGCCCAAGAGAAAGTTTTCATATATAGTGTGCATTGAATTCAACATTTCAATTTTTTAATATTTTTCTAGGAGGCTCAAGATTTTATGTGACCTTCATTGATGACTCAAGTTTAAAAGATATTAATTTATTTTTTGAAAAATAAATATGACGTCTCTAAGACTTTAAATGGATTGAAAGTCAAGTTGAAATTGAGTTTATTTACATTGGAATGCCTATGATTTGACAATAGATAAGTATATCAATCAAGAATTTAAGGGTTTTTGTCATGAACATAGAATTATGATAGAGAAGATAAATCCAAATTCTTTTTAACAAATGATGTTACTGAAATGATGGATAGAACTTTGAGTGAGTGAGTCATGCCATGATGATTAATGTTAGTTCATTCAAAATGTTTTTAGGAATGTAATTAATACAATAAAAATAATTTGATAAATAGGGGACTATTTCTGCTTCTAAACCATCAATTATTACAGAAGTTCTAGATTGAAAGGAAGGAAAATTTGTCATATCTCAAAGCCTTTGGATGACTCTCTAAAATACATATAAATTTTATAATTAGAGATAAATTAGACCCAACATCAAAGAAGTGATTCTTTATTAGATACAAATATGATGAGTTAGGCTATCAGTTTTGGGATGATTAAAATCATAAAATCATGAGGATGAATATATATAACATGACGAATCACTTATGAGGATTGTGTTTAACCCTGAAAACAAAAGTTTATAACATGAAGATACCCTTTACATTTCCACCAATAAGGTTTAATAGAGGAAGAAGATCACTTGAAAGATTTAAAAATGCCAATTAACTTTAGCCATTTGCAAAATCTATGGAAGTTAAAGATTTGGTGAAGTGGAGGTTAATAATGCAATATAAATTGAATTACTTATGGAAAAATAAAGTATGAATGTTAACTCCATTGCATAATAGGGAGAAAAAAATTCATAACAAGTGGTTTAAAAAATCAAACATGAGAGTTGAGTCTATTACAAGACATTAGAAAGAGTACAAATTGAAACTTCTTGATAAGGGATTTTTGGAGGAAGAATGCCGAACTAAATATAAATGTTCTATTTTAGTATTAAGTTGATTGTAATTAAATTGGTGTTGAATATTGTGGATGTAGAATATCTTTAGTTGAAATAACTTGATGCAAAGATAAATTTTCTTCATAGTGACTTAGAATAAGACATCAGTATGATGTAACTTTAAATATTTTGAAAGCTAAAATTAAATTAAATGTGCAACTTAAAGAAGAGTCATTATGAACTAAAATAAATATCAAGATAGTGGTCCAATAAATTTGATGATTTTATAGTAAAAAAATTACTGCACTAAATGTCAAATAGATCATTACTACTATCTAAAAAAGACTTGAGAAGTGTTGCATCATTTTATTTCAATGATATATTGATTGCAAAAGTTGACATATAGAAAATCAAAGAAAAAATTGTTTAGCATTAAGAAACTAAGAAAATAATTTGTGATGAAAAACTTGAGAGCAGCAGAGTAAAATTTGAAATGCATCTCTTAATATGCAGCCTGTAAAATGCATTAATTACTGATTGCTTAGAATTATCTCAAGAATTTTATGTTGAAAATGTATTTTGCATGTTCAATATGAGTACACTAAATCTTGCGGTTACAGTTCTCATCATCACCTCAAACTTTCAAAGAATCAATCATTCTTTATGCTATGGTCAGAACTCGACGGGGGATAGGAATATCGCGCTAAACCACATGCAGAGCTAGCGTAGATTCTTTAAAGTTGAACCTCCCATTGCCACACACTTGTCCTTGTGGCAGTTGGAAAAGGCTACGCTCGAGTGGCGGTGTTGCTGCCAGCTCTATTAAAATTTCGCGAGAAAGGGCCCGTGCGGCAGTTCTCCCCCTGCCAGAGATATGCTGGCGTGAATGGGCGTTGTTTCTGAGCCCGTTGCACCCAGAAAGGGAAGCTATCTCCGGAGAAAGCCGTCAGGCAGGTTGAGTTCATTATGGGCTCTTCACCCACCCACAGACTTTAAAGGAAGAACACGAAGGTGGGCGCTGGGAGATGAAAGGGAGGGATGGGCTATGAAAGCCCTCACCTAATCTTTCCGGCGTATCAATGCTGGATAGGGCTTTGTTGATCGAGAGGAGAGGGAGTAATCTAAGGGGTTGGCCTAGGGAGGCCATGCGAGCTACTGCTGCCTCTCAGCAGGGGAGAAGGGGACAGCGTGCTCGTCACTAATGGGCCTCACAGGTCCCCCAACGCCATGGTGAGGCCAGTTCCCTACTTATATATGTACCCAGAATTCGGCGACAGGAGGAGAGAAGAGAAGATGGCTGCCTTGCGAGACCTCAGGGTCAGCATCCTGAGATCCTCCATCCTCCGCCCTCCGGAGAATGTGGAGAGAAGGCTCATTTTCCTGTCCAACATCGACCAGCAGCTCGACTTCAATGTCGAGACCATCCACTTCTTCCTCCCCAACCTCGAGTTCCCCCCGGACGCGGTGGCGAAGAGGCTCGAGTCGGCGATGGAGGAGCTGCTCGCGTCATCGTACGACTTCCTGGCGGGGCGGCTGAGTTGGGACGAGTCGGAGGCGCGGTGGGAGCTGGACTGCAACGGCGCGGGGGTGGGTTTCGTGGAGGCCGCCAGCGAGCTGACACTAGCAGAGCTCGGGGACTTGGAGCTCCCCAACCCGGTGCTTAGCCAGTTGGCGGCGGGGAAGGCCGATGCCATGGACATCGAGGATCGCCCCCTCTTCGTTATTCGGGTGACGACGCTCTTCCTCTACCGCTGTCAAAGAATTCTCCAGTTTCGTTGTCTCAAAACTGCGTTCTTTCGGTGCAGTTGACGGCGTTCAAATGCGGCGCCTTCGCTATGGGGATATCGAATTCGCACGCCACATTCGACGGAGTGGGCTTCCGGACCTTCATGGAGAACCTCGCCGCGCTCGCAGCCGCCAAGCCCCTGGCGCTTCCGCCATGCAACGACCGCCGCCTGCTAGCCGCGCGGTCCCCTCCGCGCGTTGTGTTTCCCCACCCCGAGTTGTTCAAGCTGAAGGAGGTCCAACTGGGCACCGAGCAGCCCCCGACGCTCATGGAGACCTCGCCGGAGAGCATCGGCTTCAAGTGCTTCCGACTGAGCACGGAGCAGATATCAGCTCTCAAGAGTAGGGCCAGAGCGGACGGCTCTCCCCCCTCCGCCGCCACCGGCTTCAACGTCGTCGCCGCCCATCTCTGGCGCTGCAAGGCGCTGGCAGGTGGCGACGTGGATCCAGACAAGACGTCGACGGTGCTCTACGCGGTGGACATCCGAGAGAGGCTGCGGCCGCCACTCCCGCGGTCGTTCGCCGGGAACGCGGTCCTCAGCGCCTACGGCGGCATGACGCACAGGGAGCTGCGGGAAGAGCCCTTCGGCCGGGTGGTGGAGGTGGTGCGAGAGGGGTCGGCGAGGATGGACGAGGATTACGTGAGGTCGGCCATAGACTGGGGGCAGCTGTACAAGGGTTTCCCTCGCGGCGACGTTCTGATCTCCTCATGGTGGAGGCTGGGATTGGACGAGGTGGAGTTCTCGTGGGGGAAGGCCCTGTGTTGCGTTCCCTTGCCCGATCCCCACAGAGATATTGCCGTCCTGTTCCCCGCCTCCGGCGGAGCCGGCCAGGGGATGCGCGCCTTGGTACCACTCCCCGCCGGAGCTATACCGAGGTTCGAGCGCCTCTTCTACGACTTCCTTTAAGGCCAACGCGTCGATGTAAATGCCTCCTCCATGGGTCTACTCTGCCTGTTGCTGTCATCACATTGCGCGCGCGCGCGAGAGAGAGAGAGAGAGAGGCAAGGATAGCCGTAGGAGCTCGATGAAAGAATCAAGATCAAATTTTGGAGCTTGACCCATGAGAGGAGACCTGATCCATGCTGTTCAGAAGCTCTTGGACAGACTTCCACCATCTAGAACCACGAAACGTACTCTCTAATCTCTGTAGCATGTACGGTGGGGGGTGGATGCCCTCTCCGAGCATCGCGGCAAGTTTGTCGTAGGCAGCCTCCAAATCGCCAGCCCTACAGTGCCGCTGCAGGAGCAGAAATTCTATTCTCGCCGCCAACTTCGCCGAGAGATCGCTTCTTCCGTTCTCTATGAGCAGGTTGTCCACCAACTTCTGTGTCGCAAGATGTGGGGACAGGCCCAATCCGATCATCTCCATTAACAGCTCATAAGCAGGCTCCCAGCTCCGAATCCCACAGTTGGCGTGCACCAGCGCGGTGTAGGTTCCGCTGTCCGGTTCACACCTCATCTTGTTCATGACCTCGAGGTATTTGTGTGCTACGTCAAGATCCCCCAGCTTGCAGAGCGCAGAGATTATTGATGTGTAGACGGAGGCCTTGGGCTTCAGTCCTTGGGATAGCATCGTCTCGAGCAGCTCACCGGCGCCGTCCAGCCGCCGCGCCCGGCAGAGCGCTCGTATGGTTGTGAAGTAGCTCTCCTCGAAGGATCTCGGCTTCTTGCTCGCAGCTGCCTTGAGAACACCAACCGCTTCCTCGATCCTCCCCAGGCGGTGGAGCTCTGAAATGAGACGATCGACGACGAAGGCGCTCGGCAGCAACCCCTGTTTCCACAGTGCCCAGAAGACCTCGAGAACAGACTCGACCGCCCGGTCAACGCCGCGGTGCGGGACTACCACGTCGAAGGGCCGCCGAACGCTCCTCACTGGAACTTTCTCCGCCTTCTTAAGTCCCAGGTTGCAGAGCGCCCCGATGAGGACATTGGCCGCGGTCCTCGTAGGGAGTAATTTCGCCATGAGCATTTCGTCGAACACCTTGAGGGCGCTCTCCATTCGACCAGACTTGCACAGACCCAGGAGCACATTGCTGTAGGAGTACTCGTCGGGGCACCCGATCCTGCGGAAGAACGCTAGTGCGACGTCGATCGAGTCCTCTGTGTGGGTCAACTTGCAGAGCATATAGAGGACGTTGTTGAAGACGATGTTGTCCGGAGCGCAGTTGAGTTCCGATTCCATGGTCTCGAACAGGGACAGGGCATCGGCCACTCTCCCCTGCCTCCCCAGGAACCTGATGCAGATCGAGATCGCCCGGGACGAGACCCTGCCATTGCTGGAGGAAACCGTCCGCAGGAGGCACTTGAGATCGTCGAAGAGCTTCCTTCGGCCGAGGAAGTCGGCCATGTACTCAACGACGACGTCATCGAACCGGTAACTCAGACGAGACCCCGCCCAGGAGAAGAACTCAAGGGTTCTGACCCGGCCAAGCTTCCTGTAGTTGGTGAGGACGCCGAGGACCAATTCCGAGCTTAGCTCGTCCCCATGATCACTCAGGAGATCCTCCACCGCGTTTCTCCGGTTTGACGGGTCGGAAAGAAGATAACATATCGATTCCACCTCCGGCAGGCCGTCGGCCGGTGGGGTTAGCTCAAAAGGATCTCGCCTGCGATGGGGTGGCGGTGGGATGTGCTGGCGGTTGCTTCTCCGGCCTCTGATGGAGGAAACCCCGGGAAAGGTGTTCCTAGATTGTTTAGGCTCGAACGAGGTTCTGGTTGTAAAGGGCTTCTTCGCAAGGGCTTCGGCCCACGAGTACCAGGAGCCGGAAAGCTCCGAGGCGCCGGCGGCGCCGCCACCGGAGAGGCAGATCAGCCGGCGGAGGAGCTTCGGGCCCCGCCCGAGCATTTGGGGAAGACGAATAAAAGAATTGAGAGGTGAATTGCACCCCAGAGAAATTCCGCGTTGAACGGCTATTACGGAAATGTCTCGTGGAGCCGGTCATCAGAAACCATTCCAGAAACTCGTTCCACGACAAAAGACCTAGCCACACCCATCCTAAGAAAAGCTCCAGTATAAAAATTACTGTTTTTAGCAGAATACAATGATTTCCTCTGATCTGGTTCAGAAGAGTAGGAACTCTACGAGGAAGAAGGCCCGAGTTTCTCAGTAGTCACCCCCCTCAGAAGAAGAGTACCCTTCTCGCTGTTCCCATGAAGGAGGAAAACAGACCACCGGATCAAGGCATCCGAGAAAAGAAAATATGGGAAGCTCATCATCCGTCGTAGACCTTCAAGAACTGACGAAGATCTGCCGGGTCCGCCTCGATCGCCTCTGCAGCTTTTCCCACAATCGTCGTCTCCTCCGCGAGAACAGCGGGTGCTGCATTGCCCCCGTAAAACAGAGCGCTCCTCTGCGAGGAAGAAGGAGAAAACTGTATGTTCCTCTGGCGTCCCTGTTCTTCTCCGCAGACGCTCAACGGCACAAGCGAACGATGCAGGCCACGGCCTGCGCCCAGAGCTTGAGCCTCGCTTTAACTTCTTCCGGCTCGTCCCCTGAAAGAAGAAGGGCGTTTGTCTCATATCTTGATCGGCTCAAGCTAGCCATGAAGATCCTCGTAGAAGCATCATCAACGGGGAAGAGAGGTCCTCACCGGGCCTACAGATCCTCCATGTCGGGATGGTGCCGGCGCCGCCCACGCCCGGGGACTCGGGAAGTATGCTCTGCTGCTGATGCCGCCGCCGCTCCTTCGGGAGCTTCTGGTTCATGGTGTTGCAGAGCTTCAGTGCCGGCAAGGTGTTGCAGAGCTCGGGGATGTCCTCGTAGGAGAACCCAAATCCCAAGTCCAAGCAGCCTCTCAGCTCCTCCAGGTCCTGATCTGTCAAGCTCTTCGTCCTCCCCAGCCCATTCCCGCCGCCAGAGCCCGACTCCCAGCCATCCACGTACTCCTTTGTCATCACCGCTCCTCTGCCCTCCTCCTCCCCCTTCCTCAGCCACCGCACCTCCACACCATGGCAGCCGTCGCCCTCCACCAACTACTCCAGCTGGTTCTTCCCCGTCTCCCTTCTCTCTCTCTCTCTGAGAGAGAAAGATGGCGCCTTTGTAGGAGAGAATTTATGTACGGACGACTACCTTGCCATCCACTGTGGATGACGTGTCTCGGGGGAGGCCTATCCATAAGGCGCCATTGACGTGTTCACTGGAGTTACGTGTTTACGCGTAGAAGGACACCACACGTTGGCATGCGTGCGTCAGCGGCCAACTAGCGGTCAGGAACAGCTGGAGCCTGCACGCGTGGACGAGGATTCGGCGGCTCCCACTGCCGCGTAACCCCGATCTGACTATGCACGCGAACGTTGACATGGGACAGCTAGACAACGGAAATGATGGCCGCGTGGCGTCGCCGGCCCTCGGTAGAGCAGGGAGGAGTTGGGCCCAAAGAGACTCCCACGGCACGCTTCCCGCCCATCGATCATACTGCGAGTCAGACGCCATACGGCAAGTCAACCAAGCGTCCTCGCCGCCACTGTCCGACCACAGACAACAAAGATACCAATAATTCCTGAAGGGCACGTTTCCTAGCGTCCGAGGTGGCCGACGGCGCCCGCCCCACAAAGTCAGCGAACGAAGTGACGCTTCGCGAAACATGGATATGGTTAATCTGAAACACCCGTGGATTCCCAATTTAAAATGAATTCCAGCCAAGATGACGGATCCAGCCGTAGGTGCCACTACATGGGTTTCGGGTAACCAAATATTATCCCTTTATTGTATTTTTTTTGTTGAAAAATAATTGCCTTTGCATTTCCCTAAAACATAATTTTTACATCAGGGAATCTCCACAAAATGGCCCCACAAAATGCGTCACATGTTCAGAATGCATTCTAGAAATCGGCGAGGAATGGGTTCCCAGGGATGAGAAGCTCGACGCCTCCGCCGCCAAGGCGTTCTGTCAGTGTCCTTCCATCTCCTTCTGTGGCAGGGGGAGAAAATGGCGGCGCGCTTCCTTCTCCCACACAACGCTGGCGCGCTGGAGAATACGGGCCCGTACCTGCCGTCGAAGTCTGCGACTCTCCCGCGCGCCTACGTCGACTGCGGAGCCCGACCCCGGACTCGGAAACTCTGGCGCGCCGAGGTATCTTCGACGGGAATCCGGCGCGCGGCGCCCCTTTGCTCGGCGGCGGCGGCGAAGAGAGGAGAGTACGACGTCGTTATAGTTGGCGCGGGGATCATCGGCCTGACAGTGGCCAGACAATTTCTAATCGGATCTGACCTGTCAGTAGCAGTCGTCGACGCCCGCGTGCCGTGCTCTGGTGCCACTGGCGCTGGTAAGGTTTCTGGGAGAAGATATCCTCTGAGTCCTTACTAATTTCTGTTCTTGATCTGAGCACACTCCTGCGAGATCGGTTCCGGGCAATCTGACGTCTCTGTCGCTTCCCGCTGCTCACTGGAGCTTCTATGCTTTACTTGTGAATTGTTCAGGGCAAGGTTACATCTGGATGGCGAATAAAACGCCGGGCAGTGATACGTGGGAGCTCGCTTGCAGGGGAAAGCAGTTGTGGGAGGATCTGGCTGAGAGCATACGACGCCAGGGCATGGATCCTCTACGAGTTCTCGGTTGGATGAAAACAGGTATTCGTTGATGCCAGTAAACAATGAATTCGTCGATGTAGGATGCCTGCAGACTCCCACTGTTTCTACTTGGGGCTAGATTCCATGCTATGCTTGATCTATAATCCATTCTAGTGAACCATACATCGTCTCAGTTTTGAGTCATTCTCTAAGTCGGATTCTGCATCTGGTTGTCTACGCTCTGAAGCTGCTATTCGTTTGCCGCCTGCAATCTGTACCTTTCTTCTTTAAATCCCGTCTATATTTACAGTGACTTCTCCAATTCAGGATAAAGATTCTCTGTTTATATTCTTATTAATAGGAAGCTTATTGATTGGTAGAACTTCGGGGGAGCTGTCCATGTTGCAAAAAAGGGTCAAGATGCTCAATGAAGCTGGTTTGAAAGCAGAGTACTTGTCAGCATCTGCCCTAGCTTCGAGAGAACCATCACTGGATATTGGACCCCAGACTGGAGCTGCATTTCTACCAGATGACTGCCAGTTGGATGCCTTGCGGGCCGTTTCATTCATTGAACAGGTAACACTCATTAAAATCAGCATTTTCTTCCTGTGGATTGTACAAGCTGAGACCTATTAAACTGATGGGTGTGTTGGTCGGATGGTTTTTATATTTCTCTTATCCGTCCGTCGAAAACATGTAGGGAAACAGGTCTTTTGTACCAGAAGGAAGATACGCTGAATTTTTTAATGATCCTGCTGTTTGCTTGGTAAGGTATGCAGCGGGAACCTGAGAATGAGAATTTTTCCTTTTATTCAGAATCCAAGTCTCTGCCTTTCGCTGACGGATCTTGCCGTTGCTTCATGATTAGATCTACAGAGAATGGAGAGGTTGAAGCCGTTCAAACTTCCCAGAATATTTTGTGTGGTAGAAGGGCCGTGGTGATTGCAACAGGTGCATGGAGTGGGTTCCTAGATAGAACCTTCATGAACACTGAAGCTACGCTGGATGTCCCTGTGGAACCTCGGAAGGTATGAACCCGCCATTAGTTTCGATTTACCATGGAATTCCGTTGACGAATACGTTGTTCAATCTTCATATTTCGGGAATAAATCAAGATGGGTGAGATTTTGTTCTCGATTTCGGGCATGGTTAGCTGGTTCTTTGTAATATTACAGTGTTATGAACTGGGCGAATAATTTGGAGTATAGCATCTCATTAGGATGAGAATTTGAGTTGCTGGAGGAAGAAAATAGACTGACAATCCTCCGAAGTTGCATTGAACTCAACATGAAGTCCTAGTTCCATTGATATAGGATCTTTGGGTATCTGCCAAACTTCTCTGCCACTACTGTGGCTGCTGTATTTATTTTTCCCATGGATTGAACCTGATATTTTCAAAGGCATTCAATTATTTTAAATATGAAATTAATAGACTCATCTGCAACTTTATTTACATTTTCTAATCGGAGAATGATGTTGCTATCTGAATTTTTGCCCTTTATTCATCATTAGGGTCATCTGCTTTTACTGGAGAATCTAGATGGCGTCAGGCTAAACCACGGTCTAATGGAGGTTGGATACGTAGATCATCAAGTTTCTAGCCGGCTTCCAGATTCATCTTCCTCGAGGGCCACTGCCGTAGAACATAATTTCTCCTCCATATCATTCACTGCCACGACTGATCACATGGGAAACCTTCTTCTTGGTAAGATTATAAATTTATTTCGTACTCCACTGACTCTCACATCTCACAGTAAAGCACATAGATGCTACTGACCGCCGATCATGGCTGCTATGCACTGAACTCCAGCCACTGAAAATCTGATCAATTATTCGTGCATATTTTTCATCAGATCGGAGATTAATTCCATATATAATCGAGGGAAAAAAAAATTTAATCTCCTGGAAGAAATCAGAACTTGGGTATGATCTGCACATTTGTGGGATGTTCATGCTTTTATGTTATCCGCTCAGGGAGCAGCCGGCAGTTCTCTGGGTTCGACGTGGAGGTAGATGACGCCATCATCAAGCGTATATGGGAGCGGGCTGGGGAATTCCTCCCTACACTTCGAGAAATCCCCCTCAATTTCTCCACTGAGAAGCAAATAAGGATCGGCCTCCGCCCCTACGGCACGTCTTCTATCCAGATAGCATATTATCTTTCTGCGCATGAAGCCACATTGAATAACATGTATGCCATTATTTTTCGTGGTTCCAGTGCCTGACGGGAAGCCGATCATCGGGCCTATTCCCGGCATTCCGAAGGCTCTGTTTGCCACCGGGCACGAAGGTGGCGGGCTCTGCATGGTAACCGCTCTATTCTAATCTCCATGTCTTCCAAGATGACGAGCTTCTGGGTCTTGTTTTCTTGATTTGTTCGTTCCAATGAAGGATACGGATGATCTGTAGACGGGCACGAGTTATTTTCGAGGCTCTGATTAATTGGGTCGTCATATCTTCCGCAGGCGTTGTCGACTGCGGAGATGGTTGTTGATATGGTCCTTGGGAACGGAGGGAAGATAGATCACAGCCCTTTCTCTGTTCGAGGGAGATGCTGCGTGTAGCTGCCTTCGCCTGCGTCTTTTCCTTCGGATCCGCCCCCGTCGGGAACCCCTCCTCCTGCTCTCCTACCCGAGCTCCGGCGTGGGCCTCCTCCCTTTTCGTCTGAGCTCCCTCCGCCGGCAGTGCTCAGCGTTGCCGTGAGACGTGTATTTTCATGCAGACTAGGACTCGGAAAATGATGGGTCTGATGGGTGAAATCACGTTTAAAACCTGGTTATCTGATGGCAGAGCCACCTGGTGTCGTCTCTCACTTGTTCTAGATGGGTAACAAACTTTGGGGAACATTTTTTTTTCCCCCTCGGATGTCTAATTATTCTTGCTGCGTCTGCCTGAACCCCATATTCGATGATTCTCGTCTCCTGGTTGGTTCCATGGGCGAACAGTTCGTCCGGGAGAATAATGGGATCTTGCATGGCTTACCTGGCCTGTGGGGGCAGGGCGGACAAAGGAAGCAGAATCAGATGCAAAGGCAAAGACGAAGCCAGAACATCTCTTTGCTCCGAAGGGTACGAGATTCCTTCCTTGCTCCATTCCTCGTTCTCCCTCGCATAATAGGAGCATCAGGGGAGAAAAGCTGCCACCCGGTTGGTTTTTCTGGGTCTCGGCCAGGAGCTTCGATCCTGACAGGGTCTGGCATTGAAGAAAACTAAAAGATGCAGCCGACGTTATGCGCCGATCTTCGGCAGTGTCTCATCTCGTCAGCAGAGAACACGGCTCATCTTCCTGTTGTAGAGGGGGCCGTCGTCATCAACCGCACCAGCGGGAGCTCCAAGCTGGGGAAATATGTGATCTTGCAGCTCTGCAGCAGAACCCAAATGGAAATCGGTGAGTAATCAAAATGAGCTAGGTTCCTTCACATTTTCTTCTCTGGTTCAGCGGAGCTTGTTCTGAGCTTCTCTGTGAAGCAGGCACGGGAAGAGGAAGGCTCACCCAGGAAGCCAGACTCAGACGAGGGAAGGAGGCCCAACACGGGAAGACGAAAACGGTGATCTACAAGTTCTCCGTCCACGTGGAGCCCGATTTCGGAGAACCCGGGGCCGTGCTCGTGATGAACGGCAGCCGGCACAAATTCTTCCTCTGTTCCGTGACGCTGACGGCGTCGGACAGCCGCCGCATCCACGTCGACTGCAACTCCTGGGTCTACCCAATAAGCAAGACCAAAGGTCCCAGGCTCTTCTTCTCCAACACAGTGAGTTGTAGGTTCTCAAGCTCGCCATTGAACTGCTAGAAGCCCCGCCGTGATCGAGACCATGTTCATCCACGCAGAGCTATTTGCCCAGAGAGACGCCGGCGGCTCTGCAAAAGCTGCGAGCGGAAGAGCTGGAGAGCCTGAGAGGAGACGGAACGGGGGAGAGGAGGAAATGGGAGCGGATATACGACTACGACCTGTACAACGACCTCGGAGACCCAGACAGAGGCCCTGGCTATGCCAGGACCGTCCTGGGGGGTTCGGAGGATCATCCCTATCCTCGGCGCGGGAGGACGGGTCGGCCTCCTAGCGACGCCGGTATGCGACTACGAACCCACCTCATACAGCTAACCTTCTGTAATATCGGAAAATAGCTCCTTTTTTCTGAGAAACACGACCTTAGAAGCATCGTAGTTGTAAATATTAGCCTTCTGAAACATTACAAATCCTTGATGTCCCATGTATCAGACCCGAAAACGGAGAGCCGGCCGGGGCTGCTCGGGCTGGACGTCTTCTTGCCGCCAGACGAGCGGTTCAGCCCGAGCAAGATGTCGGAGTTCGTCCTGAACTCCATCCAGGCCGTCGTCCACTTTTTGATCCCGGAGTTGAAGTCGCTAACCTCGCGGGGCCACGGCGACTTTGAGTCGTTCGATCAGTTGACGGAGGACCTGTACTCCGACCAGCGTCGCCGTCCTTTCGACAGAAAGGTAATCAACAGGCTGAAGCACTTTCTCCCCGGTGATCTCGTGGACGAAGTGATCCGTGCTCATAAAAAGAACGCAGTCAAGTTTCCAGTACCTCAAATTATGGCCGGTCAGAGCCCGTCTCCCTCTCTCTCTCTCTACGTATATATATATATATATCCATCTACTATACATCTATCTGTAATATTTTTATCGGAATGTCAGTGAATGAATGGGCATGGAGAGAGGATGAAGAACTAGGAAGGGAGATGATTTCGGGCCTCAATCCGGCGGTCATCAGGCGCTTAGAGGTGAGGAATGTAACTCATCTGCATGGTTTTCTTGAACGTTTTATATGCAGAAAGACTGTAAGAACAGCATCCAATATACGGAAAATCTCAGTTTTGTTTCATTGTTCATCATCTCTGAAGGTTTTCCCACCTACGGGCAGGGGAGGGAGCAGAAGCTCCATCACGACCTCCCAAGTAGAGAAAAACCTGGACGGCTTGACCCTTCAGAAGGTACCTACCTATCGTCGTGATTACGTGGGTGTGATGATGCTTCTACCACGGAGAGTTAGGCCAGTTTGCCGGTGCGACAGGCTATGAAAGAGAGGAGGATCTTCATCTTGGATCACCATGACTACCTGATGCCATACTTGGCCCGCATCAACATGCAAGGCGTCTGCATCTACGCGTCTCGCACGCTCCTGTTCCTGCAGGCGGATTCAACCATGAAGCCAGTCGCCATTGAGCTGAGCCTGCCGGGAGAGGCCGGCGGAGAGATCAACAGGGTGTTCCTCCCTGCAAGAGACGGCATCGAGGGAGCCCTGTGGCAGCTCGCCAAGGCCCACGTCGCCGTCAACGACTCCGGTCACCATCAGCTCATCAGCCACTGGTGAGGAGCTTCTGTGAGACCCAATTTGTCTCTGAGGGCGGAGTTTCTCCTCACTTCTCGGTCCCGCAGCTTAAAAAGCCTTGTTCCTCCTGCAGGCTGAAGACCCACGCGGCGGTGGAGCCCTTCATCGTTGCCACCAGGCGGCAGCTGAGCACAATGCATCCCGTCTACAAGCTCCTGGAGCCTCACTTCAAGGACACCATGCAGATCAATGCACTGGCCCGCAGCGTCCTCCTCAACGCGGGTGGGGTTCTGGAGAAGACCATGTTCCCCAGGAAGCTCGCCATGGAGATCTCTTCCGCCATCTACAGGGACTGGCGCTTCCACGAGCAGGCCCTGCCGGCGGATCTCCTCAAGAGGTATTCTACTGAATGAAATAATCACACAAAATCAAATAATTTCTCAGTTAGATAACGACATTTAATCGGTTCTCAGGGGGATGGCTATTGAAGACCCCGGAGAACCTTCCGGCGTGAGGCTGCTCTTCGAAGACTACCCCTACGCCGCCGACGGCCTCGAAATATGGACGGCGATCAAGAGATGGATCTCCAACTTCTGCTCGGTATTCTACTCCACTGACGATGCCATGAACTCCGACGTCGAGATTCAGGCCTGGTGGTCGGAGATCCGCGAAGTCGGCCATGGCGACAAGAGAGGCGACGGCGATTGGCGCCCCATGAACTCCCTCCCCGACCTGGTGGAGGCCCTTACGACACTCATATGGATCGCCTCCGCTCTTCACGCCGCCGTCAACTTCGGCCAGTACGGCTACGCGGGGCTGCCCCTGAACCGCCCCACGCACTGCCGCAGGTTCATCCCCGTCGAGAGGACGGCAGAGTTCGCCGAGTTCATGGCGGACCCAGACAAGTTCTTCCTCACCATGTTGCCGGACAGGTTCACGACGACGCTGGGGCTGGCGCTGATCGAGGTGCTGTCGCGGCATACCTCCGACGAGGTTTACCTCGGCCAGCGGCCATCGCCGGAGTGGACGGACCACGCGAGGGTCCGGCAGCTGTTCGAAGAGTTCCGGCGAGATCTGCTGGCGGTGGAGGGGACGATACGAACCAGGAACTCGACGACGGCGCTGAGGAACAGGCGGGGCCCGGCGGAGATCCCCTACACATTGTTGCACCCGGACACCTCCAACGTGCGCGGGGAAGGCGGCATCACCGGCAGAGGGATTCCCAACAGTGTCTCGATTTAGCGAAAGCGCCACTGCATGGATCTACGTCGTTCTTCGCTTGCTAGGCCCGTCAAAGACCGGAAAACGATCGGTCTCATGCTGAATCGCAGAATAAAAACCCTCTCTTTCGACTTTATACTAGAACTTAGTTTTAGTGTTTCGACTCACCTGCAACATCGGTCCAGAGATTGAGAGAGAGAGAGAGAGAGAGAGAGGATGGGGGGAGAGAGAGAGGGGGGAGAGAAGAGGGGACAGAAAGAGACAGGGGGGAGAGAGAGAGAGACGGAAAGAGGGAGGGAACGAGAGAGAGAGAGGGGAAAGAGAGGGAAAGAGGGAGGGAACGAGAGAGAGAGAGGGGAAAGAGAGGGAAAGAGGGAGGGAACGAGAGAGAGAGAGAGGGGAAAGAGAGGGAAAGAGGGAGGGGAAAGAGAGGGAAAGAGGGAGGGAACGAGAGAGAGAGAGAGAGAGAGAGGAGAGAGAGGGAAAGAGGGAGGGAACGAGAGAGAGAGAGGGGAGAGAGAGAGGGGAGAGAGAGGGAAAGAGGGAGGGAACGAGAGAGAGAGAGAGAGAGGGGAGAGAGAGGGAAAGAGGGAGGGAACGAGAGAGAGAGAGAGAGAGGGGAGAGAGAGGGAAAGAGGGAGGGAACGAGAAAGAGAGAGAGAGAGAGGGAGAGAGAGGGAGAGAGAGTATGAAGCATGGGACGATCCCGCGGTAGTCTTTGGGAGCTTTGTCGGAGGTGGGACAGAGGATCACCTTCCGAATGGACCAGATTGAATCTGCATGGAACCGCTGCAGAATAAAATTGGACGGCCCACATCGAATCTGAATGAAACGGTCGAGCCGTTGCCAGAGGAACGTCGGTGGTAGACTACAGCACGGAGATTCGAGGGGTGTACACACCAACAAAACACTGAAGGAGGGCTTTCAATATAAAATTTAATAAGGGCTTTTAGGTAAATAAGATGTTAACAGGTGGAAGATTTCAAGGCTTGTTTTTAGAGGGGAGGCGGGAATACACCGGGAAGTCCCTGGCTTCTACCGGATTCTGTTTCTCCCGGGTCCTCACTTCCGTATAAATAACGCGGGAAAGGGAAAAATGTTCCTCCTCCTCCCCTCTCTCCCTCTCTGGAGGAAGGGGGAGCACAGAGTTTCCTCCAAGCCGCCATTCGCCGCTAGTGTATCCAGGTATTGACACTTCTCATTATCTGTCGGATGTATTCCCTTCCCGTTTTTTGGTTTCCCCCTATTCTTTCTGCGATCCATTAACGTGGTAGGATTTTCGGATTTTTTTTGTTGCGGCAAGAATCATGAAATAGCTGAGACTGGTGGTATCTGTGCGTTTATCCGGCTATGCAGCGCTCATAAGATATTCAATGTTTGACTCAGTGTTATTGCCTTGTTCGCGAGTGCTTTGGTTATTTGCTCTAATTCCGGTGGACGGGGGAATATATAGCCGGGGAAATTTGTGTTTCGTTTACTCTATTTTTTCGTCCTTCGTATCTTTTTGCTTTTTCACGGCATTGTAGAGATCTCTTGTCATCAGTTTATATCTGTCTGCTGAATAAATATGTTTTTTATAATTTCTGTGTTAATTATTGACGTTTCTATCTGGAGTTATTTATGCCTGTGAAAAAATTTCCTGGAACTTTTTAGCTTTGAGTAAATGAATGATAAAAAAGAATACAATTTTGCTTGTAGATGAAGGAGAATAAAAGAGGGTAACCTGTTTGGATTATAGGTGCACTCCGGACTATTTCTATGGTAACTGCGGTCATAAAGCTTTCAAGCGTAGGTGATTATTTTCACTCTGTTCTTTGCCTAATGGGTATGGCTAGCTTAATGAGAGATCCTTACTATGCGGGGAAAAATCAGAAAACTCATTTAATTTAAGCAGATAATGCACATATTAAAAAATATTAAATTATTTTTCGTGGGATTAGATTCTAAGTACAATGCATGTACCTGGGCTTAAACAAGATAAAGCAAAATTATGAAAGTTTTGAGGATAATATTTGTTATATCTGAGGGATGTAATCTAAAATCATAGAATGGGGAAGGAGAATTGTATCTTATGTTGGTGATCGGATTTTTCTATCTTGTTCAGGAGTCGTATATGGGTACAATTGGCCTACATATTATGATGTACTGAAACAACCAGAATTATATCGGGTTCCTGCACTATGTTTTGCTTATGGACCAGACACAATATGTGCCAGCATTTGTGCAGCATTGTTTCGGAAAAGTAAATCATTGGAGTGGCTAGATCTGCATTCATTACTTCATTAGTTTCATAATATGTTTTTAGTAATTTTTGGCGCCTTTAAATTCTACTTCCGTATGATTAAGTATTTTCTCTATAACTCTTGTTACTCTTGATTAATGGTTCGCATAAATGAAACCTAAAGAAGATCTATTCTTATGAATTCAGAATAAAGAGCGGTACTAAAAACTGAATATGTTCATGAAAACCTGTCATCTTTCCAGGCATTAATAACCTATCATCTTTTAAAGTTTCTTTTTAATTTTATTCTTCGAGTATATTGATTTTGGGTAAGGAAAAAGTATAATAGTTGATTCTTTTCCAAATTATTTTTAAAATGTCTGAGCATGCTTCAATTCTTATTGAGCTGCCCGTTAAATACCTCAATTGTGGTACAATTATATAGGGCAAATTGTGGTTCATCGAGGACCATCATATGTAATGTCTTCACTGATATGAAGGGTTCTCATGTGGGGGGCCTGGGTGGAGATGAGTGTTCATGTTTAACATGGTATGATAATTTTACGAATCACTGTTGGGAAAACGATTTTCAGTTCAATTCTAATGACAGATCATTCGTCAGATGCTTAATAATTTTTTAGGTTCCCAATGGAGAATATTCCATCTTCATTGACATTTCCTTTAAAACACCTTGAAGATGAAGGTTCCACTGCCAGGACCTTCTCTTTATGGAATTACTGCTGAAATTTGTAAATTCAGTATTGCAAACTTGGAACTGTATAGCTGGCGGTTAAACTCCGTCTGCATACCCTTCAGCTTGGACTCTTAATATTTATTTTTTCTTCGCTTCTTAAATTTTTGGAGCAATATAGAAATCGCAGGCTGACCTATTTTGATTAATTTGTTATTTTATTTACTTCATCTCATTACCTTGGGGCCCATCGTTGCTCATCTGAAATTTGTTGAGTTGCATGTCAATGGCAAGCGTGATTTATTTGTTGATCAGTTTTGCTGTTTTTGCCCTCTTATGTGATGAAGATTAAATGACATGCAGGTTTCTTGACCAAAGAACCGATTTCCCAGGGAAGGATTCTTGGCCACTAGTTACGATGCCTTCATCTGCGCCTCAACTGGAATCCAAAAATTGTAGTAGGTACGGCTTTGGAAGCCATGAGATCCGCCCAAGCTACAAGCTAATTAAAGGAATTGCCTTATCGGATGCCGACATTGAGCATTTAATCTGCACTGAAGACGGCTTATCTGACGAGAACGAATGCACATGGTTATCCTCTGGAGGCACATCAGCCTCCTACCTTAGTTCGGATGAACTGCGATCATTGGATACTTTGGAAATCGATTTCTGTGATTCACGGCTCTATGAGCAGTCTAACACCATGATTCCGGTCCCTCCTGGACATGGGCTTTTTTCCCTTGATAAGGCCGAGAGGAATTCTGTCTATGGTTTAACAACATCTCCAGTTATCCTCAGAATGCAGGACGGTGGGAATGGAGGAGACTTCTCCTCCCAGCAGCCTTGTGAAGCCATGGAATCTGCTTTTGACATCAAGAACGCATATTTGGCTGTTTCAGCGTTACCATCCGAGATGCAAGATGAACCTTCTCCTTCACAGGGTGGTCATGGCTTCCACAGAACCAATACCTCTGCGTCCCTGCTTAATCTCGAGGACGAGGATTCCCATTGGGACAGAGATGGATACGATGATCTTGATGCGGATTTTCCCAGCCCTTCTTATCGCATCCGAGGAAATATCAAAACCAGATCTCCCAGCTTATTGGGAGGCGCTCGAGGCTCATCGGCATCCCCTAGCTCCATTTTTCAGCTATCTCCGCGGCGGCCTCTCGACGGCGAGGAGCCCCTCTTCTGGCCGTTCAATCCAAAATCCTACTCAGAATTCGAAGGGAACTATCTCGGCATCTCCCCTCGCGCAGGAATGCTGAAGATCAAGCGGCGCAGTTCGTCGAAGTCGGTCCAGATCAGACTCCACAAGAACAATCAGGACATTCAACGGGGGTTCGGAGGAAGGATCACAATCAGCTCAAGATCGGGTCGGTCGGCTCTCACGGATCGTAAAGCTAAGGATCCCCGCAGCCAGGTTTCGCGCACCGCCAGGGGGCCCTCGAGGTTGAGCAGGTCTTCTGCATCGTCTACCGGCGGATCGGCCGGTAGCGGCTCCAAGAATGTGGGAAGGAGCCGCCATCAGTTGAATTCTGTCAGGAAGAAGCCCGGTGTGAACCAGAAGGCTTCTTTGGTTCAGTGCCTGTTGGAGTTCGAAGCCGGGTACTTTCAAATCTACCTGGCGGGTGGAATGTCGATAGAGGCCTTGGTCGGCCTGGAAGAATTCGACGGCCGCGAAGGGGCCGGGTAGATGACGACGCTGATGGCTCCTTGAACTGCCGGCAGATCCCCGAAGCCTTGAACAGCATCTGATGATGGAAAGATTTCATGCGAGAGTGAATCCATGTACTACCAAAACTTTGGGAGGAGGGCTTCTCGGATAAAATAACCGTGAGAATGCGATGTGGGTTACCAATGTTTAAAGAAATAGTAAGTCTTCATCTTTCTCCGTGGAAAAGGGAGTTTATTGGCTTGACACCCACAATGTGTTTCATTTTATGATAGGATTAGAATCACGGTGGGGACAAAAAGGGAAAACTTCCGCCCTTTTTTATCTCGTCTTGGCGTGCCGGATCGCGTTCCAGGGCTCAGCCATAGCGCGAGATCAGCCGGCAGGTCGGCGCGGGGGAAGGATGTCGTCGGACGAGGAGGAATGGGTGCCCTTCAGCCGGCGGCCCGGGTGGCGGGACGTGACGCCGGTTCCCCAGGACGACGGGCCAAACCCAGTGGTTCCCATAGCCTACGGGGAGGAGTTCCGGGAGATCATGGACTATTTCCGCGCACTGTACTTCGCCGACGAGAGAAGCCGCCGATCGCTCGAGCTCACCGCTGAAGCCATTGATAAAAACCCGGGCAACTACACTGTGAGTCCTCCTCTTTTCTGTGTCTGGCTACTGCGGCTATAGTTATTGCTACACTGAAGTTTTGATCATTTATTTTCTTTTATTTTTCTTGTGTCCTCTGCCGCACTCCCTTCTCGCCCCTCAAAAGATTTTCAATCTGCCATGATCTACTGGCCCTGTTCTTGCACTGATGCTGCGAGAATTGGTTCAAGAGCTATAGTCTGTTCCCAATTAAGAAAAGATATTGCCCGATTTTTCATGCCCATGTCGTCATTAGGATTTTCTTCATTCTTTTCTGAAACGTTCGATCCATTCCCCTAATTCAACCATTATAAGGGGACAAGAAGTCATGAATACGGATACCCGTGTAAGAAGTCACCGTCTCAGTAACCTTGAACTATAGTTTTGGAAACAAACATGCAACACAATTCAAATTTCTTGAGAACTGGATCTCTCTTTGTTGCTGGGATTTTAGGCTTCCATGCCAAGAGTAATCTTCTTGCAAATTTTCTCTTGTGAGATATCTCAGCTGTGGACGGATTTGGCTTGATCCGATGAAGGGCTCAATGGTGTGACAGGTGCTTTCTGTTGTTTCTCTTGGTCAAGTTTCTGTAAAGAGCGACCGAGAACCCCTACCTAATGAGGAACAAAAAGTGTATAGGGATTGTTATTTTCCGTTATGGTTGTTCCAACCTGTAGGAGGTAGATGCTTTCTTTACGAGGTGATTCAGCTTACCCTTTGACCTGATCGTTGTACATTCTTTGTGCTTCATCCAGCCAGATATTAATTATTTATGTTGGTTCTAGAGTCAATACCTTTCCTTGTGTACTTTTTACACCAACCTCCTGATTTGTCACGTATAATAGTGTCATAAATACGAAAGAGATGCATCAATTGCGACACTTCATGTAGAGGCTTATCCTATTGATATTGATCATCCTAACTGGGTAAATCAATGATGGACTCCGGTAAGTTAAATGCAACCCCTTTTCAATGATGGATTACCCTGATTGAGGGTTCTTAGTTCTTGATGATCGAAATGGTGTCCGTATGCTACTGGTCGAAAGTTCGTCATTCACAATTTAGAGAGCCTGAGAATCGAAAAATTATCTAGATACCAAGCTGTTTATTGTTATTTCAACACTTTGTTTGTTCTTCTTGTAGGTGTGGCATTTCAGACGCCGTGTTATTGATGCACTAAATGCTGATTTATGCAGCGAGCTTGATTTTGTCAGCCTGATTTCTCTTAAAAATTCTAAGAACTACCAGTTATGGTGAGAATTTCTTTTTATTACTTGAGTGGCAAGACAGTACATGCAATATTAATGGTTTCTGCCACATATATGTTCAGTGCGTCAAATATACAGAGATACATCTATGTTTACCATTTGATATGGTTTATGAAGCTACTAATTTGCAAACCAACTGCTTGCCACGTAATTTTTTCAGCGTTTGGCACCTTTTCACCGAGGAACTTAACAGAAATCGATAGATAATTTGCAGGCACCATAGACGATGGGTTGCAGAAAAGTTAGGACCTGATTCTACAAACAAAGAACTCGAGTTCACTAAGATGATACTTGCCCGTGATGCTAAGCATTATCATGCTTGGTCCCACCGACAGGTAAATTGATGCATTTGCGCTCGTAGTGCTCTTTGTTGAATTCTTCAACTCCACCAGACTTTTTCCTTTGGAATAAGCCATTTATTTCTTTAACACCCATGTGATCGCTCACGTAAGATTTCTGATTTTTTTCCATGCAGTGGGTTCTTCAGTCACTCGGCGGCTGGGAAGATGAGCTTGATTACTGTGCCCAGCTACTGGATGATGATATCTTTAACAATTCTGCATGGAATCAGGTGAATACCCAATGAATATGCAGAGCTAGTTAGATGCATAAACATGCAGTCCGATATGGAAGCTAAGAGAACATTCAGTTTCTAGGAAATCTTTTGCAGAGCTAGTTAGATGGCTCAGGTACATGAGATAGTCTAGGATGAGAAGGGTTTCATTGTTTTTTCAGGTTCTCACCCACAGAGGGCTTTAATTCTATTTTTTTTCCACTATATGATTTAGGGGATGTGTATACTGGTAGGATGGGAGGTGGGCATTGTCACAAATTTGTGGGAATTAGGTTGATGTTCACATCCTTTCTTAAAAAAAATACTTTTTGCCCACTATAAACTCATACCTTATGTATTAATTGACGCATAATCTCACTACTATTAGTGAAAGGCCGAAATTGTGTTCTTCAGTCACATTAGCCTATGTTTTTACCCGCCGGGCTCTTCTCTGATGATTATTTGCTGGGCTCGTTGCAGAGGTATTTCGTGATAAGCAAGTCCCCCCTTCTTGGCGGCGTTCAGGCCATGAGAGACTCTGAAGTAGGCTATGCCATTGAGGCCATTGCTGCAAACCCAGAGAACGAGAGCCCTTGGAGGTACCTCAGAGGCCTATTCAAAGGCCACGCCGACCTGCTGATTGAGGACGGCCGCGTCTCCGAAGCATGCCTCAAGGTCCTGAAGACCAGTAACCAGCGCGTTTTCGCCTTGAGCTTGCTCCTTGACCTTCTTTGCCATGGTCTCCAACCCCGTGAAGAACTCAGGGAGGTGGTGCAGCGTTTAAGCTCTGAGATGGAGCTGCCAGTGGGTGGCGGGCTTCCGACTGCAGTGTGCTCCATCTTAGAAACCATGGATCCAATGCGGTCTAGTTACTGGGCATGGCGGAAGAGCAATCTCCTCCCTGAAGCTAGCTAGAGAGAGGACAGGTTCTTGCATTCTGCCTTGCTATATGTAGAACACTAAGCTTTTGGTCTTCGGTGTAGAAACCCGGCAAATACTATATATGGTTTTCGTTATTGATGATGATACTAGCTAAGTTGGCACATCTCTCAGTTATGCTCATCATTTCCCACCATATCCACTCAATTCACACACGCATATGGTATAATGGGATTTTATTCAGTATCATGTTAGCGTTTGTAATATCTAGACACAGCTGGTTCTCCCAAAATAGGAGGCAATCGTTTGTAATATCTCATACTTGCATTAGTGTACAAATGTTGCACTGCCAAAACCATGGCGGGAGAAGAGCATGGCGGAGAGTCTCTTCTCTCGGGAGAGTGGCCAGTTTAGGGCGGGTTCTAAGCGAGGTCAAGAGCCTTTCCTGGGGCTTGATTCCTTTGTTTTGGAGGTGGACACTGCCGTCTCCCTAAAGGCGGATGGGCAGCGATTACTTACTCTGCAGTCTTCACAGTGTGGCCTGAGAGGAGTGCAGATCGTCCGCCCAAACCCAACCTGTAGATGGAATAGAGAAAAAAGATTTTAATATAGATAATAATAACATCTCCAGAAAGGAAAGTGAATGATCTTATCATATGACGCAGGGTTATTTTCAAAGGAAAAGAATGCGTGCCAGCAAAGGGTTTATCACAACCCATTCATCCTTCGGTAGCCATGTCTGCAAAGAAACCCTCGTTTCTTCAGGGGTAGATGTTTTCTAGCAAAGATGAGAAAAAAAATAACAGCAGTGACCATCAGACGCAGGAGTTTATCCGAAATTAATGAATGAGCCGCAATGTACCCGGTTTGAGCCTGGCTTTGAAACCCATCCAAGGCGGTTACAAATCCGATGCACATGAGTGTCCACGCATATTCCTTGAACATCGTTCCATCCAACATGCATAACCTGTGCAGCATAATTCATTGCCAACTCAGTGCAATTAACAAAAAAAGGAAAACCCGTCCACAAATGATGGCGAAGTAATCAAGGTAGTATTACCAGATGTGCCATCTTAGGACCTATCCCTGGAAGAGAGAGCAGCCCCTCCAAAGAACGGGGAATATCACCTTCATACTTTTCAAGGCATATTTCAGCAACCTTCTTCAGGTATTGGGCCTTTCTCGAGTAAAATCCAACCTAATCGAGAGGAGAGTAAAGAAGATGTTAGATAAAAACTTATTAGTCCCGAAAGGAACCCATTGAGGTGCGGGGGCAGCGTATGATAGTGGTACACGGTATTCTGAGCCTCATTGGGATGATGTCACTTTTAAATGAATAATCAGATGACATAAACTTTTCCAAAGTCTCTGTGGATGTCCAGAACGAACAAAAGCATATATTGACGAAAGCTACATATCAAAAAGGGTGAATTCCAGAGGCTTGACATTTGACGATGGTTTGCTTTTCTGCACTGAAATATAAAGAAGGAAAGAACTATCCCATTTGGAAAATAAACTCTGGAGCTTATGAGTGACGGAAAATGTACCGGGTAGATAATGTTTGAGAGGGTTACTTCATTGACCTTAACAATTGCATCAGGAACAAGTAGTCCAACCTGAGAAAGCCTTTGAATAGCACCTGCACTCGTTGATTTTTACAGAATGAACTCTTATCATCACAGGCACGTTTTAAAAATGGAACTTCTAGGACTAGGCTATTTGATCTATCGAATGTAAACTTGCATAATATGAAAAAAAGGTCTTTAGAGCAGTATCATCTGATATTTTAAGGGCGATACCCAAAAGAAACTGTAAAAAGCTGGAAGACACTTGGGACCTTACCACGCGTGAGTTTCTCCTTTGTCTGGCTTGAAAGAAGTGAAGATACCAAAACACCAAACCTTCTTTCCTGGTAAGGAATAGAACATGACATATTCAGATATGCGAATTTTTTTTGCAGAAAAAAACTAAAAAAAATGCCATTTCATTCATGAAATTTTCTAGAGGAAGGTATAATCCGAGTATATGTGGAAAGTGGACATTCCGAATTTCAGAGGGAGATTTTTCCCTGATAATGCTTAAATCATCACATAATATTTCAAACCTTTTAGTATCCGAGTTTTCTTTTCCTACCTATATCAAAAAAATCGTAGTTAAGTTCGAAATTTTATGACCAAATGTTCTAGACTCTAACAGGTTTGAACTGCAATGGAGAAGTTAGAAGCCATAGCATTATAGTGAAATGGAGAATGCTTGATTACCTTTGGAGGTAAAAAACTCCCTGCTTTCTCACATCCCATCGAGTCCACTGGAGCATCTTCTGAAGATCTCATTTTTCGAATCCCTTCTAGGACTTCTTTCCAGTTGGCAGGTGGGTCCACTGTATCATATCAAATAGACAGATCTTTAAAAAGAGAAAAATACTAAACATCAGTTCATGTATTATGAAAATCCTAAAAAGAAAAAGACCATGTCCAGACATTTTATACATATAATACCAATGTAATACTTATAACATTGAAACATGGCAGATATCAATCTTTTTTATGATTTTGACGTATCCAGTTACCTGCCGACACAGGTGAAAGAACCTCTTTCTCACGTGACATGTGGGTCTGAATGGTTTGTTTCTGTCCTGAAAAGAGGAATAGGCAAATTACCTCTTCAAATGAGAGATGCAAGAAATGAGTGAATTGTTGTTAGACACAGGCTTCTGATCACTCCATCAAATCTCTAGACCAAATGAATGAATCTTCAACAGAAAAAATCGATATTTTGAATTATATAAAACTCAGTATTATCTGAAAATGGAAGTGCTGTAGAGTTCAGATCATCAAAAAGGTCGAATCATTAATAACTCTTGTGCATTCTATTTCCATAAAACGTCATGATACTAATGTGACTACCTCAGATGAAGAATCAAATGAGAATGCTGCGATCAAAGATGAAATGAAGAAAATTTACAATTCAATGCGTTGCCGTTGATCTATGATTCGAAGTTGACATCACAGCTCACAGAAAAGCGCACCAGGGTTAGTACTCTTACTAGGAACTTTATTCGCCTTCGTCTTGTATTCAAACTCCTCAATGTCAGGCAAAATCGCTGGCTTCTGATTAAGCTGGAACAACGGGATAATTGAAGCAAGAAAAGGTAAACCTACTTCAAATACTCGTACATTATACCCTCCTAAAAGGACTGAGGATAGAACGTCAAGACCCGTGCAGAAGAGAGACGACGTTACCTTCCTACTGAGTTGTTCCGGTAGGTTATCCGCGTCCGAAAACCGTCCCGCTCTATTCCTCTTATTCCTCGCGTACGTTCTAACCTCGGGTTCCGAATCCTCCACGGGAGCTTCTGACACTGGAGGTAGTATGGCAAGGGCTTAAAACAACATTATTCAGAGAAGTTTCCTGCGCATTTCAAATGAGCAGAGTCCCTTTGGACATCCTGCCTGAAAAAGGGGCGGATAAAAGATGAGAACAGATAGAGTGGATATTGTCCCTGGTCATTTATCAGAATTGTCACCTGGATTTGGCTGACGAACAATTGTACCACCCCTCGTGACAGCTGTCTCTAGGGACTTGGTCGGAAGCTGCCGTGACGAACGCCTGGTGTTGGCCATCCTACAGCTTCCAACTGGAAAAGGGGGGAGAACCCGTTGGGGACCCTTGAAGGCGATGAGCGGGGTTATTGTTCTCATTCTCCTTGGGAAAGGAAGGATGGAAGTGAGAGAGAGAGAGATTCTCGGGTTGCTTGTCCCTGGCTAAAATGTTCAGCAGAAACCAAGAGCCCCTCAGGGTCTACGCCAGGAACCGAGAATTGGCGGTGTTCTTCCTTTCCTAGTGCATCCGTTCGACGCGGCGATCACGAAGAAGAGCCCCCTCACTGCTTCCTAGCGATCTTCACAGTTGCTTCATCTCGATTCATTTATACTTCACTGACAGGCAGAAGTGTGTGTGTGAGAGAGAGAGGGAGGAAAGCCAATTTATACTCTGTCGAAACGAGAAAATTTAGCTTTTGGTTGAAAAAGAATCCACGTGGGCCAGTCCTCGGGACTGTCCACGTTGGCTGGACAGAGCGAATTTCCCTTTGACGCCCTTCATAGACGATCCGTATCCAGGAGGCAAAAAGGGAATATAGGGGTATTATCATCATCATTTATAAAGTAAGACATATAGCTTTCCGCCATTTTTCGGAGAGAGAAAAGCAGGGACGGTAACTCTCAAGAAGCGGGGAATAGGGACATGGTGGTTATGAATTCAGGTGATATTCGCCCTGGGCTCTGTTCATTATCTGTGCGCTCTTGGAGGAAGACCGGGGGAGTTTGGTGGGGATCAGGGCCGATGGAATCCTCCTCCGATTGCGTCCCGACGGAGGATGCGGTCCAAGCCCTGATCGACTTCTTGGTCTACCCTCTTTTGCCGGCCAAATGCTTCTTCTCTCCGGAGCCCCCTTCCCTGGATCAACAGAAGTGCGTCGCGAACCAGGTAACCTCCTGTTGCTATTCACGAATCGAAGTTTGGGACGTTTTGGTTAGCTTCACTATCTGGAACAAAAATTTTATCACAGAAAGGTTTGGGTTATCGCAAGTCTAGTCGCGAATGAAAGTGTGAGAGAGCGGTGAATCTAAGTACTAAAGGGAGGGTAGGAATAAACTAGAGAGAAGAATTCTTGATCATTGAAAGGTATCTTAATGACGCTAGGGTCTCTTTCCAGTAATAAAGGATGCTTGGCTGATTAGGAAATTTAAGGAAATGGAGGAACTGTTTTATAAATAAATAAAAACCTAAAATTAAATATTTTATTTCGTAGGAATTATCAACCTCAACTCCCTAGAGTTAACTTTATCTTAGAATTGTTTTTTTCTAGTTAATATCTGTGTTCTACTGCAACATGTGACAGGATATCAACAATGAAAACAGTATACAACCTCGTATACTTTATAGCCCCGACATTGAAATTGGAGATCATCAATTTGTTCATTATTATGTCACACTTGTTCTATGTAAAACAGAGATCAAGTCATTACCATTTCCATGGCAAATAATCATTTCCGCTATGGGTCACGGCTGTCCTCCTGTTGTCACAAGAGATCATCGATTCATGGACTGGTATTGTGTATTTTTTGACGGTTCTGTGATTGAGAAAAAGTACACGGCTGCATGTCCAACACACCCAAAAGATTGATGTCCCTCGTTATGGGTCACGGCTGATGGCGGATTGATGTCCAATCCACTCAAAAGAGGACGAGTATCACAAGATCGTCAAAAAATACACAATACAGGAGTTGGATACTAATCAGTAAATGCCTCAACGATAGGCTGCAGATGGCCCCGGAAAATAGGAAAGGCTAATTGGAAGGTAGGGAGAAATATCCGGGATTCTAAGAGAAAATAACTTAAGCCATGTAAGAAGAGCTACTACACGAATCCCTCGTTATTACCTTCTTGACATATGGAATCAGTGCTGTTCGTGACAACATGCAAATGTGCAACAGATGACGCTTTCCTCCAATACATCACCCTTTCAATGATTATGACACCAAACTTCATCAAGGATGCACGAGATCAAGATTGTGTGCCATAGAGAAATCATTATCTCTGTAGTCAAAGGGTGATGTGAAGGCCCATAATGCAATGTACACCAAAGTTTAACAATTCCCGCAATGAAATGAGAACCCCTATGCATTAACGTCAAGTGTCAGCATAAAGACACTATCCAAAGGTATATGACCAACAAGAGCAAGAACATTCTTCTGGTCTCCTCCCAACACGATATTAAAATCTTCACCCGCCTGGCTGAATTCACGATTGGCCAAGCGAAGCTGACCAGATCAAAGGCTATAATTCAGAGGAGCTAGCCAAACATTTTTCACACTTTTGAATATTATCCAAGGAAAGAATCCACGATACCAAGAAAACACACAAACGACAGCATGATTGAGAGCCGAGAATGAGTCCCTACATTTCCCAATGTAAGTAGAAGGTTTGTCCTTGTCAATTCTTGATGCTTGGTTGTAGTACTGTGCTGTTGTCCTATAATGCTTGTCCTTTTTACTCCTCTCACACCTCGCTAGATACGTACGAAATGCTGCGAGTGCATTGGGAACAGCAATGCCTTCATAGTTGACATTGGCATAGTACTCATCGATTTCTGGAAAGAAAAAAAAAGATGATCACAACGGAAAAAAAATGAGCGCGCATTGCAAGAAAATTCAACTGTGAAAGAAAAAGGGGCCCAAACGTGTGCAAGAGAAGGGCATACCCAGAGCTGGAAAAAAAAGAAGAGAAATTGACAATATGATTCAATCCTCACTGCAGTCAGCCTCACAAGGAAAGGTCACTGCTCTGCAAAGTAAGGAATGAGGGAAATGAAGTAGGTCAGTCATACGGAGGCAAGGAATATGCTTATTACAGAAAGAGGAAATAAAAAAATGGAATTACAAAAGCTACCATGGGAGGTGATCCAGGGAACCACAGCCATCTATCATCTATAAATCACAACTGAATTGGAGGGAAGTTCCACAGTAGGAGGTCAATCACTTCAAAATGATCACCATCCCTTGATGCTTTGCAGAGTACTTTGCCTTGTCTTTGTTGAGCTCTGCTCTCTTTCTTTTTCAACAATTGTCTCATTCTTCTTGTTGTCATTAAAGTTTTTGATTGCACTCTAGATCTATTAGTTTTTCTTTGAATAAAGGACTAACTTTTCCCTTCTCTTCATGACTTCACTCTCTCACATCTACGAATTCTTCCCTACCTCTTCTCCCATGTTGACTTTTTTTTGCATGAGATTACCTAATTATTGTATAATAATCACTTAAACTTAAAATTTATAAAACTAGAAATATTAATTTTTGAAAATTTAAAATATTTCAGTACAAAGAAATTAATTATAAGTTGATAAAAGTTTTAAAAATAGTGAAAAATTTTCAAATCGATTACAGGGATGTAAGATAATATTAGGTAAAAACTTTTATAATTTTTCTCAAACAATATTATTTTTTTTATAATTTTTAACCTAAATAATAAAGAAAAAAATATTTAAAATTTATGAAAAGAAAATTTTGGGTGAGTATGTCAAGATGATGTAAGCACCCCGACAAACATGATTGGGGTAAAAATAAAGTTTCACCCAATGATTTTTATGTAAACAATTACATATGATTAAGTGATCAAATTAATTGAATGAATAATAGTTTTGAAATTTGAAATTAGAAAAAATATCATTAATTTATGTAAAAATTAAGTTTGAAATAAGAAAGATAGAGTTCAGGTGTCATAGTGTTGATCATCAAAATTTAAAATATTTAGGAGGATTATTGTATGATGTTCATAACCTCAAACGCTATCTTTGGGCATTCAAACAATGTGAGTAATTTCTAGATCTTCATGTAAAGTTTAGAATCTAATAAAGCTAGGTCCATACAATAAAAGGAGGCTTTTTATTTCATCTACTATGTTATGTGGAGGTGACAACTCATCTTTTAGTGGATCATCTTCTTCTCGATGATAATTTATTCATCAATCAATCGGAGATGATTTCCTCAAAGAATCTATGATTTTTGTATTCAAAATTCTTAGTCATTTTTTTTTTGACCTTTGTATTTTGGTTAAACTTTCTAGAGGTCCCTTCTTTGATACTTCACACACCCTAGTACATCAATCTGACATCACATTACATGAGCTGCCTAGTGTCACTTGATTCATAGCTGATGCCTCATGGCACTCTAATTCGGAATGGTTGCTTTATGACACTTGGTTTGGTGTTAGGTGCCCTATGATTCAAGCTAGTGTAATATCTCGTGGCACATTGGTCAAAGTTGAGTGCATCGTGATGCGAGCTATTGTGGTGCCTCATGACATGTTGTCATCATATGATTCAAGGTGGGCTTTATGACACATTGATTAGAGCTAGGTGCCTTGTGATATGAGCTGTTGCCTTTGTGCCACGTTTTTCTAATGTAGGGTGTGCCTCTCAAAATCCTTGGTTAGTTGCTAACAATTATCCTTGAAAAATGTTGATGAAATTTTTATCAATGATCGAGTGATTCTAATGACTTAATCATTGATTGGCACTCTATAGAAAAATCACTATTTAATCATATTAAAAAAATATAAATTTTGGCTCTAGTAGGATTCAAATCCTCGTCAATTATTGGACTACATGTGAGAGAATATGAATTACCCACATACCTTTGACCTAATAATGTATGAAGTTGGTTCCTTCTTTTAAGTTAGATGTATTTTTAATATAAAGATATTAAAATATGTCAACAAGTGGTGAAGTAGGTTTAGTCCCACATTAGTTGTTTTTCAACAGCTCTCTTTTTGTCTTCAATATCTTCTCACTTGCCCATGTGTGTGTGACCGCTCCTTACCTTACACTTGACCTCCCATCAATGATGTGGAAGAGGAGTGACACACATGTGTCATGATTGGCTAGTAGGTCTCTTGGCTCCTCTAACTATGCCTCCAACCTACGTGTGGGTCTTGATTGGCTAGTAGGTCTCTTGACGATGCCTCTATCTCATGTGATGGGCTGGTTGGCCAGCAAGTCCTTTCTTTTTTTATATGTATTTTTATTTTTATTTTCTTTATTTAATCTCAAAATTATGATTAT